GCATGTATCCCTTTGATTTGTTTTTGTTATTGATTTGTAACCTACTGTAGTGCAACTTGAAGTAGGAAGATGCTTTCATGCTCTCCTCAGAAGGAGAAAAAGAGTGGCTTAGGCTGCCTGAATGTGCTTGATTCTGGTGTGTACAGACTTCTACCAGAAAAACTCTGGGGGAAATATATAACATAGACAACCAAAAATAATTTCCTTTTCAGAAAGTATATCTGAGTGTGCTGGATCTAGTAAATTTTAAATGACTTCATTAATTTTTAAAGTGTAAAAGTAAATTATGCACCTAGTTGGTGGTGATCCAAGTGAGAAAATCAGTTCAGTGGCTGTAGAAATTGAACTGACCCTTGTTTGGTTAGGAGACTTTTAACAGGGCATTATAGTAATTTGTTGCATGGAAAAAGTGATTTCTTACAAGTAATCAAATGTTATTTTTTGCCTATCAGCAGCAACATTTGGTACTGCATCCATGAGCATGCCTGCAGGATTTGGAACTCCTGCTTCCTACAGTCTTCCTACTAGTTATAGTGGCAACTTCCAGCAGCCCACGTTCCCAACCCAGGCAGCTTTCCCTCAACAGACTACTTTTGCTCAGCAGCCAAATGGTAGGTCTGCATGTTTTAGATAATCTTGTCTAAATCGGAAACATAAAGAAAATGATCTGTCTATAAGTTGGCAATAATGGGTGCATATTTATTTCTTCATGAACTTGGTAGTAATGTTGATGAGGGGTTCCCACACTTTTTTGGCTCTGTAGTTGAGCTTTCTAACTTGGCTGTGTGCACTTGTGCAATGACAAAACTGAAATTTTAGTAAATTTTACTAGAATTGTAAGTATTCCCAGGCTTAAAGGGTTTTTAAGGGCTTTTTTGGAGTGTCTGCAACACATTGTTACTTTCTCTAACTTCATAGAACACAGGCAAGAGAAAACTGGAAAGTATTTTCTCCCTAAATTTATGGGATACAACAACATTGAAAAAAGTGTATATGCAGAAATTGGAAATAGATTAGTTACAAACAGTTGAAAACAACCAAAGCTCAGTCACCATTTTTTAGGTGTATGTTTGTGATAATGTTTAAGTAGGATCAGTCCTGCTGATTCTGCAGTTCAAGCTTCCACTTACATTTGAGTGGGAGCTGCACCAAAGAACTCTTGAAAGATTGTTTACTAGTATTAATATTTTTCACTTATCTTTCCAAGGAGCAGGTTTTGCTGCATTTGGGCAAGCAAAGCCTGTAGTAACTCCTTTTGGACAAGTTGCAGCTGTTGGAGTATCTAGTAACCCTTTTATGGTAAGTGAGTTGTTGCATGGTATTAATAACTTCTGTATCTCCAAAGAAGCATAATCTGTAACACCTAATTTAGAGATACACAAAGATATTGGGGTTTTCTTCCTTCAAGTAAAGAGAAGCAGCGTGTGACTCTGCTAATTGCAATTCAGTGTGATGATGACACGGCATCTGTTCAAATCAAAACAGAGGTATTTGGATACTATGTTCTTACAGTAGTGTAACTTCAGAGAGGCACCAAAAAATAGACTGCAATATAAACCAGAAATATTTCCCCGTAGGTTATTTTCTTTTTTATATATTCTGCATTTATGATTTACAATATGGAAAAAAAGTCTTAAATACTTGCCTTATTTTTGCTCTGTCCTTTTCCCCCAGGCTGGTGCACCAACAGGACAATTTCCAACGGGAAGCTCATCAACCAATCCTTTCTTATAGCCTTATAGACACTTTACCCAAAAGAACTCTTATGTGGTCACATAACATCTCTGCGCCTCTTGCACTGTTGTCTTGTTTCACTGATATTAGCTTTAAACACAAAAGAAGTCTTTAAGAAGTAAAAATAAAAGCCTGCATTGTGTACCTTTAAAAAATTTTAAAAAGGAAAAAAAAAACCCCAACACAAACAAAATGAGAAAACCAACCCCCCCACCAGGTAATAACGTGCAAAACAGAGGGCTGTGGTAACATCCTTGAACCTGTGAACTGGCAGGTAAAAAGTAGCGGTATCATGTATATTAAAATTGGCTAATAAGTTATTGCAGATACCACATTCATTATGCTGCAGTACTGTACATATTTTTCTTAGAAAATAGCTATTTGTGCATATCAGTATTTGTAACTTTAACACATTGTTATGTGAAAAATGTTACTGGGGAATAGATCAGCCACTTTAAGGTGCTGTTGTATCTCTTGGAATGAATGAGCTGCATCATTTTAACCGTTGGTATTGGAAGTCATGAAGTTAAATTGAAGGTTTGTTCATTTCTCAAAACGTTTTCCTTTCCTAAGAGCTATTCTATTTATACATGCCTAAATCTCTAATGTTAGAGGGATACCTGTCTGCATAATAAAGCTGATCATGTTTTGCTACAGTTTGCAGGTGAAAAAATAAATATTAGAAAAAACAATTGTGTAGCATTATTTCTGTGCAGTAACATTTATTGGATGAAAATGTGCATCCTGCAAGTCTTGTACACAGATGAGGTATCCAGAGAATGAGTTAAGCTTAAAATTTTTACATGCCTCACTTGGAAATGTTTCTTTGTATCCTGCAATGGAGTTTGCTGTTCTAGCTCAAGTGAAGTGACCTATCAAACAGGAGAGTGTTAGATGAACTTGGGTTATTTGGATAGAATATCTGTAGTGAAGGACACTGAAGCAATGCAGAGGGTAGTCATTCAAGAAAGGGTTTGCTGCAAGACACCTGATTATGGGTAACTAGTTGTGATGAGAACAGAATGTGTGACAGCAGGACAAGGTACCACAGATGTAATAGCACTTTTTATTAAAAACTGATATATATTAGTAAAAGCTCCTCTGGAATATTAAATTCGTCATTTTTAAATTTACAGGAATGTTTCCTGCCTTACTAGAATGGAATTCGTAGAGGGGGTAAAAATGTCTGACTTGTCTAGTCTGTAATAGTAATAAGGTTCAAGAAAATGTAATTGTATTGGAGTAGTTGGTGATGGTGTTTTAAACACAGAAATAATTTGGCTTAACTTCAAGTGTAATACTGGAACTAAGCAAATAATATAAATATATCATGAATACATAAACTGCAAGCTTAAAGGTTTTGGACCAGCTGGAGAAAAAATTTTATAGCTTTCAGGATAACAGGAATAAATAAGGTGAGGTTGATTTTTATTTTTTTTTGGTTTGGTTTGTTTTTTTTTTTTGAAAAAGGGTATATAAGCCCATTTGAGATAACCATGACAATTCTTGAAGGTAGGACACTCCACTTTTAATTTACTGCCTGAATGTTAGATCTGTTTATTTCTAGGACATCTGAAAGGCTTGACCTCTGATTGTAAAATTATTAAAGGTAATGCTTTTGACTTCAAATCAACCAAATGTCCTGAAAATGAGACAAATGGTGTTGTGAAAGGGGAACAATCCTGTGCCTGCTTCACCTCGATTGGTATAAATGAGGCTTTGGGCAAGGGCTGATGAGATCAGCATCTGTTGAAATTGTCCTTATCCAAATGAAGCTGATTCTTGCTGATACCAAAATTGATTTAAGTATGCAAGGCATGTAGTTCTAGAATGTGCTGCAGAAGTAGTGGAATACCTTAGTTTTCATAACTAGGTTAAATGCAGATAAAAGGTTGGCAACCTCCACTATACACAGCCACATCTGTTTAGTCTGTTCACTAATTTTGCGTTTTCCAAACTCCAGACAAGCAGCTGAAGTTTGTGTTGTTTTGAGTCTTCTGTATGTTGAGCAGAAACTGCCACTGTAGCTGTTTTGTTGATTAGGTTTTAAAAATAGCCATATTTACTAAATGAATTCTTCACCTGTGATTATAAAGTCATCTTGGAAGTCTCTGCAGTTGTTCACACCATTGCTCATGCATAGTTGCCAAAAAGCTGTATTCATGCTTTAGCATCAAAGAACTTCACTTGGTAACTTCAGCCCTCTTATACAGAAATTAATATGGAAACCTCCTAGATTAGTACTTTAGTCCTAAAATGTCAGCTGTTACGTGTGTAAGAAGAGGCTACAGTTGTAGGAGTGGATACATCTTGTTCGGAAAGGCAGATGTGATGTCCAGGTACTGCAGTTGAAAGGTATTTAATGGCTGCAAACATCCAAATACCATGTTGAAACAAATGCTGAAGCAAAAAATTAATTTGGAAGGCACCAAATTTAGTTGGATTTCCTGAAAGAAAGCTATATGATGCAAGTATTCTGCCCTCTTGAAGGGAAAACTTACTGGGACGTGAAAATGAGCTCAAGTAGCTTTTCAAAACTGTTCTGAAAGGAATTGATGATTTTTACTTCTTTTTGTGAGATGAAGTGGGTCAGTTAATTCTGAGTCTTGACGAATCTCTAAGTTGTGGTAAAGGAATACAGTAGAATTTACTGCTGTCTGGTACAGCTGACTAGAAAGTGGACAGTTGGAAGAACATTCTCTAATTAGCTTTAGTTATATTTAAACTTTAAGTCATGTTATTTAAGACTGTTCTGTATAGCAACTGAAGTGTCTCCCTGTGGTTTAAAAATAAGTTAGTTTAGGAGGCTCTTTGCTTCCAAAGATAAGTGTGTGGGTCATGGCAATTGTTGGATATAATTATTGCAAATGCTTATCAAGGCAGACACTCAAAGGGAAGGTCAGGGTGTTGTGTTCATGCTCCTTCAACAAACTCATGGTAAAGCTGTCATTGCATCAGTAGCAGTTGATCTGTATATGATGACATGTTTTTCCTTACAGTGCTGTCACTTCACATTTCTGAGGAGTGCATTGTCTGTGTGGAATCTGAAATGCCTGCATTTGACCATTGGGAAAGTGACAATATTGCTATACTAAATCACATGGTAGTAATCCAACATTTGAGTAGGATCTTTTGGGGAAAAAATATTGTTTATTGCTATTTGTTAACTTGTTTCAAAAATCTGTCACAACTTCCAGTTGAAAAAGTGTTGTTTCCTTTGTGGCAATCTTTCCAACAGATATCTTGCTGCCAGGGGCAACTGTTGCTTTATATTCCCTAGGAATGTTCAAAGGTCTAAATTGCCTTTAATTGAAATTCTCAGTAGAAGTGAAATTTCAGAGGTTCTGTAAGTTCTTCTGGTGTGAAGTTCAGGCACCTGCCTGTACTTGTTCTTGCGGAGCATTAATCAAAGTTTGGGTGTCGATCACTAGCTTTGAGTTAAACTACTGATGAAGAAAACAGGCAAAATGCATTGCTGCTGACAAAGCTGTCTGTGCTGTAGGCTCGTTAACAGCCTGCTTCAGCCTGCACCAGTTTTGCTTGATGGGACATTATATATTGTTCAGGTGATGGAGCCTTCTGCACTGTTGCTTGTAACCATTCTTGTCTCTGTTGTTAATGACCAGTGCTCTCCCCAGCCGTGCTGGTATTGCTGCGTTTGATGGAGATAATGGTGTATGTGCTTCTGATGAGGAAAATTCCAGCTATGACTGCAAAGTAGCTGCCATAAATGAGAAACTGGGAAATGGAGGTGGGAAAGAAGGAGGAGAAAGAGTCAAAAACTGCTTTTGCTGTTAGATAATAAGAGGTGTCCCTCCACTGCTGCCCTCCCCTGTCACCTGTGCCCAAAATGATCCCATTTGAAAGGACTCGAAGTCTGACTGCTTGATTACATACTGTAGGAAGTTTGAGGTTGTAAAAGGGGGAGAGAATATTCTGTAATGGGCTTGCCTTTCCTACCTCGGTAAGGGAGGATAACAGTCCTACATTTGTGTCTCTTCTCTGCAAAGATGAAAGCTAGAGACTCAGACCTCATTTGGTACATATGTATCAACTTTAAGTTTAGAAACTTAGTGGGGAATTAAGTTAATTTTCAGAATTAGAGTAAATTTCATGGTGCATCCACTGGAACTATCTTACTTAGAATTACCCTAATAAAGGACCCATTGATTGCTTTTTGGTTTGGTTCCTGCTTCTAGTTAGGGTATTTTGACAATAAATTTGTGAATAGTAAGCCTTTAATTGCAGAAATACTCTGAGTGAAGGTGGTGGTCTTTCCTCTCTGTTCTATGAAAATATTCTCAAAATTATAGCAGAAAAGCAAAACTGAGAGGACTGGAGAACAAGTCATAGTAGCTTATAGCAGTTCACTTTAAATGAACTGTTTTTTGCAACTAACTGGCCTAAGCTCACACATTACCTGGTATCTTCACAAAGGCTAGTCTTAGAGCAGAACCCACTTTCTGGGAAGAGTAGGGGGACTGAGAGCAGTCATGTAGCTTACCTGAGTGCTGATATCCAGTCCCAGACCTCTTGAATCTACTACAATAACAGTTAAAATTGTTTGAATCACCAGTGCAACAAAGTTGTTGAAGCCAAACATCAAAGCATAACGCTCCATGCTCAGGTTGACAGCAATCTGAAACCTGCCAATGAATGCACAGGTTGGCCAAACTATGGAGAGCAAGGACGTGTGCACTTTAATGTGCACAGTGGACTCTTCAAAGGACAGTCACTTCAGTCTTGGCTATTAAGCTTTAACAGCTTCAATTTGGCAGAAATTCCTTGGTTTTTCTGGCTTTGTGACTTTTGTGCATCCTACTTACCTTTTACTTGAGTGGATATTTTTGTCGAATACTGGTATATATTTATTTGATCATGTATAGAACACTTGTACATAGATCATTGAACAGCCAAATGCAGAAGCTACCTTGTTCTGACAGGAACTGTATTACTGTAGTGATTAGGTCATATAATTTTAAGCATAGTTTTGCACAGGCTAGAAATAATGTATGCTGCTGTCATAACCTAGTTAAAATTTATTTCTAGGGAAACTTCCAGTAAAATTTTGATAAATTTAAAAATTTGACACAGATTTAAATCATTTTAATTAGAACAGTTGTGTATTGTACTTACGTTGCTATTGTTATAAGGAGCATATAGCAAGCCTTAAATGCAAGGTAACCAGCATAACATGCCCAGATGTTCCCAGTGAAGTACATGAGAAACAGAGAACCAGCATCCATTGCAGAGAAAATTCCCAAGGCCAATTCTCCAGAGAGATCCCAGTTCACTTTGACGTATCCAACTACCATGGATGTTACTGAACCTAAAAATTGGAAAGTACTGATTAAAACTCTGAAATGTTATTATCCTTGAGAGCCATTGTATAACTGTGTAGCTGGATCATGCCAGGAGCTCTTCAGTCTGTTACAGTCACAGTGGGCTCTGATACTGGTGTGGTTTATATTTCCTATTAGTGGTGTGGGAGTCTTCCATTTGTTTGGGTGTTTTTCTCCTTGCTTACAGACCCTTCACTGACTGAAGTGCTCTGGGAAAGTGCCTCATGTCCAAGGTTGGAGGCAGCAGCACACAATCTATTGTTGTTTCTTGCATTTTTTGACAACTGAGCAAAGAGAAGAACAATCTCACCAAGCATTTTCTGCCAAAATAGGTATAATGAGTTCTCTTACTTCATGTAAAGATCTTTATGAAATGAAAATCTGTTGTACTTCACGTTTGCTTTTTCTGAAAGTGTCTTTTCAGTTTCTGGTGAAAAAATCTTGTGAACTGCATTTGCCTTATTGACCACCACATGTAACAAAACCCTGACTTGAGTGCATCATGGTGTAGCAAACTCCGTGTTTTCAGACAGGTTAACAGATTGGACTTTGTTTGCTGGTTGTATGTGCTCTTCATCAGAATTCCTTAAGTTAGAGCAAACCAACCCCTTTGGTCCATCCCTGCTGCAAGCAGAGATTTCCAGTATTGAGTGCCTTCTGTAGTCTGAAATAGTGTCAAGTGCCAGAGAGTGTAAAAGCAAGAAAGTCCTTGGGAACACTACTCAGAACAGTAGTAATTCTGGAGTAGCTTCAGTAAAACAGATTTTCATGCTGATTGCAGGGAGGAAAAGTAAACTGATAGTTCCTTGGAAATGTGGGACGAGGCTCTTGGAATGAAGGGGGAGACAGATGTGTAAATGAGACCTCAAAAAGGAAACTCCATTGGTACTGCACAGTCATGTAAAAGAAGTTTCACTTTGGCCATAGCCTTCTGTTCTGTGGCCAAAGAGAAATGTCATTGGGATGGACCAAGGAACTAATGAGAGTCAGAATGGCTGAGGTTGGAAGAGATGGATGGAGATCACCTGGCCCTGCTAAAAGCTGAGTCAGCTAAAGCAAGCTGCTCAGGATGCTGTCTAGGTTTTCACTATGTCCAAGGATGGAGAGTCCACACCTCTGGTCAACCTGTTGCTGTTTTAAATCACCCTTACAATAAAAATGTTCTTATATGTTTTAGTGGAACTTTGAATCACAGAATATGCTGAGTTGGAAGGAATCCACAAGGATCATCGAGTCCAAGCCCTGACCCTCCACAAGAGCATCCCCAAGAGTCACACCATGTGCTTGAGAGTATCATCCAGATGCTTCCTGAACTCTTGTCAGGCTTGATGCTGTGAACCACTGCCCTGGGGAGCCTGTTCAGTGCCCAACCACCCTCTGGGTGAAGAACCTCTTTCTAATATCCAACTTAAACCTCTCTTGACACAACTCACTGGTCACCACAGAGATCAGTGCCTGCCCCTCCTCTTCCCCTCAGGAGGAAGTTGTAACTGCAATGAGGTCTCCCCTCAGTCTCCTCCAAGCTGAACAGACCAAGTGCCCTCAGCTGCTCCTCACATGGCTTCCCCTCAAAGCCCTTCACCATCTCCGTTGCTCTCCTTTGGACACTCTCTAAGAACTTAATGTCTTTCTGATATTGTGGCACCCAAAACTGCCACAGTATTTAAGGTGAGGCCATCGCAGAGCAGAGCGGGACAATCCCCTCCCTCAGCTGGCTGGTGCTGCTTTGCCTGATGCCCCCCCGGACACGATTGGCCCTCCTGTGCTGGATTTTGTGCCTCTTGCTTTTTGTCCTGTCACTGGGCACCACTGGGAAGAGCCTGGCTCTGTCTTCTTTGCTGTTCCCCTTCAAGTCTTTATGCACATTAATGAAATCCCTTGTTTTCTCAAGGCTAAATAATTACAGTGCTCTCAGTCTCTCCTTGTATATCATATCCAGAGGCAAACTTGCTGATAAGGATATAGATGCAGCACAGAATATTTGCTGAGGAGCACTTAGCCTGAAATGATCTTTAATCTACTGTCTAAATAGACCATTTAGAACAGTGTATCTGTTAGTGTGTTATTTTAATTCCTAAACTTGCCAGCTTAAGGTGTATTTGAGGGAGGTATATACAAGGTTAGTTGTGCAGACTTTCAAACTGCTTGGGGTTAAATTCATGGTCTAAACAGAGCTGTGAACTTAAACTCTTAAAGCACTTAGGTGGAATAAGGTTCCTCTAGAAAGAAAAAGCTTTTTTTAATATATGTATATGTATAATTTTTGAGAAGCCCACTGATAATAAGTCAATAGAAAAAACATGCTTTGCACACTGTTTGGGTGTTATATGTCAGGCTGTTGCTGTTAACCCTGGTCCTCATATGAGATGGAAAGGCACCAAAGGTATGCTGAAGAATGCCTCAGTGCAGGGTGGGTTACTTATTTACTAATTATCTTTTACTTACCTAAAAAAGTTGCTAGTGCTTCGACAGCTCCATTGTACACTGCAGAGCTGTGAGAGGGGGCTTGGAAGTCCCACAGCACTTGGATATAATTCAGGACCTGATAAAAGCCGGCCGTAGCCAGAGCCCACCACAGGGACCAGTAGAGAAGTTTCCTGGAGCCGTAGCAATCCCTCAGGTCCTTGCTCAGCTGCACCAGCACTCTGAGCATGTGATTCCGGGGCTTGGCATTCCCAGCCTGCTGTTGGGGTGTTGGGCTCCTGCCAGCGGAGTCGGAGCTCGTGTCCTCTTGGCAGCTCGAGGGACGGTCAGAACCGGCCGGAGCCGCAACTTTGTCAGGCCCCGGGAGAGACTGGGAGGCATCTTTCCTGTGGAAGAACATGCTCTTCTGGGGCATGGGGAGGAAAAACGCACACAGGAAGGCCAGGGCCACGGAAGCCAAAGAAATGGCGTTGAGGTAGAAGTAGGACACGTCTGCCAAGGACACCAGCAGCTGTCCCAGCACGGCGGCAACAGTGGCTGCCACCAGAGTGCTGCTCCTGCAGTAGCTGGTCACCCTCTGGTAGCGGTCGGTGCTGACCACGCTGTAGATGTAGGCGTAATAGGCCACCTCAGTGGCCGTCACCATCCCGTAGAAGAATTCCACCACCTGCATGGCCAGCACTCCGTGTGCAAAGAGGAGCAGGAGCCAGGTGACGATGAGGCTGATGCCCTGGAGGAGGAGGACGGGCTTGTAGCGCAGGTAGTCTGTGAGCAGGAAGACTGGGAACAGGAGGGCAAGGTAGGAGTATGTCCAAACAGGCAAAATCTGGTTGGTAACCTAGAACAGAAGAAAGAAGGAAATATTTAAAAAAAAAAAACCCAAGCACATAAAATACTGATTTTTTTAGATTTACAGTTATGTTATTGAGGAAACAACGTAGTTGTGGTCACAGGAAACACTGAATTATGTAAACAGTGCAGACTTAAACTGCTTTCAGTGACATTACTGTAAATGTGCTACATAAGGGGCAAAGATAGTGATGCTACACTCTGCTACAGAAACAGGTGGATTGGCTTAAAAATTCCAGTAAAAGCCTATAAAGAAGGCAGATTTTGATATCCAGCTCTTTCAAGCAGTTGTAACTGTGTGTCAGAGGAAAGGCTGTCTAGCTTCAAATCCTATTCCCCACAGTAGCTGGAAATGAACGCCTATTTAGTTTTAACTTTTTACATGAGTCATTGTACACCTTTGGTTACCTCTTTCCATTGTTAAAATTGGACTGAAAAAAGCAGCACGTGCCTCGTACAATGTAACTGGAACTGCACATAGTGAATGTGTAGCTGCTACCAGGTTATCTGCACCGTCTATGTTTTCTTTCAGTTTAATGTGTAAGAAGTAAGCAAGTCTTTGAGGAAGCAGTATTTCAGTAAGTTTCAGCTGGACTCGAGTATATAGATGCTCTGAAAAGAAATTATTTCTCTTTTTTCTAAAACTGTTCTGCATTTGGGTTGGAAGGTGCTGTTTGCAGTCGCCGCTAAAGCTCGGTGCTTGCCCAGGCAGTTTGGGTACACCTAGGTCAGATGTCTGCTTTTAGATGCACATCATAAAATGAGCTTTTTCTGTAAGTTGGCTGTTTTGGGGAGGTCTCACCCAGTAATTATGGGCTCTGCTGGGGGTGTCCATTCCTGATCACTTGTTCTCTGCTTAAACAGAGACTAGAAAGGAACTGTATGAAATGCTGGAGGACAATAGTAGGTGGTCATCTTTTTACTTCTGAACAGGTCCTGGAGTGAGTTGCATGGTGAGCAGCTGGTTCACTGTATCTTTCTGTGTGACTTTTTTTGTTTCTCTGAACTTTAATTAGAATTTCTAAGTGTTTGACTTAAAATTATGTTATAGAATTAGCTCACTGGAGGTGAGTTCGGCTGAAAGAATTATTATCTGTACTATGCTTATTTTTGAGTTAAGGATTCTTGTTGAAATCAGAATTAAGGCATTCTGTGATCCTCATTGTGTATTTTATATAAAACTTCCCTTTGTGATTAAAAAATAATAATAATAAAAAAGGGGGAGAAAATAAACCCTAATGACTTAAACCACAAATACCTTTTCTCAGAAGAAACCTTGGGTTCACACTGTGCTGGTAGATTCTGCCTTAACATTTGCTACTGCGCAGCAGGAATGACTGTTCTTCATATTAGCTGTATGTGGGTGTACCAAGCTTGTGTTTTCTAATTATACTGTTAGCTCCATGACTCAGCCACGTGTCAACTATGGCACCTTTTCCTGGGAAGTGTACTCCTGAAGCAGCCAGTGCTGAACAGAGGAGCAGAGCAAGAAAACTTGCAGTGCATGCTTTTTTCAAAAAAAACCCCCACTTTTCTGAATGTGAACCTGACCTTCACAGGTTAATGCATAAAACATAAGGGGAAGGTTGTTTAGTTTTCTTATGATTTGCTATCAGTGTGTGTCCTGTGGTGGTAACACACCACCACAGTGTGTTAGTGTAATCAGTTCCATGATAAGTATAAATAAATGTCAGTGTTGCCCCTCCTCTGGGGTTCTGCTTTGGAGAGAGGAGTTAGCTGACCTGATTTTGCCAAAAATACCAATCTCTTAAACAACTACCAAAGAGTAGTTGTTTCAAAGTCCTGAGAATGTGGGGTGTTTAATGTTTTGACCTTCTGCCAAAGAGGTGACTCCTTACTCTTTCCCAGAAGCATCTTAAACGTGAGACTCTAGATAAAATATATCCGTATTACTGAACACTTCATCTTCCCGTCAGTTATTGCTGTAAGGCTTAATGCTTTAAGCATTTTAATTATTACTTAAGAGGATAGTTACATACCTCTTCAATCGTTAGGTTTTTGTCTGGCCCCGTTAGATAAGGGGTGAGAAAAGACTCTGATGGCCTCATTGTGGCAAAAAATCCATTTGCACAGATGATCACCGTGGGATAAATCCAGCTGCGGCTTATGGCTTCCTTCCAGGAATCCATAGCCTACCTAAAAGAAAAAAAGGTGGCAAAGAAATGAACAGATGCTCTTCACAACTGGTAAAAATTCATCTGCAAGTTTACTTTTTAACTAAACCTTCACTGCTGGACCCTTAAGCGGGGGCTGTGATGGTGGCATCCAGTTTAATTGGACACTGGGGGACAGATGACAATGTGATAGCCTGGAAGGGCTGCCTGGAATGGTGACACAGAGGTCTTGCTGATGTGCAGATGTAACTGTACATCAATGATCTTGAGCTCTCCTGCACAGCAGTGGAGCTGCACACCTGGATCTCCCTGTGGGCAGGGATGCCTCTCGCAGTTACTCATTGAGGTCCAGAAATTTCTTGCCACAACAGATCCTTGGGAAGTGACTAATAGTGTGCTCAGCTTTGAAATCTTGGCTGAGGACTGACTGCACATGTACAATCCTTTAGACATAGGCAGTTGACCAAATCTGGGACTAGCAGTGGGTCTGGCTGCACCTTGACTCCTCTCTGCGAGGAGTTTAGAATCCTGTGACTTAACAAGAGGGTCTCCCCGCCAGTTCTGTCTTACCTTGTCCTCTGTGCACTAAGTCAAGCCTACCTTGCTGTCGAGTCTTGTTAAACCACTGTCGCATTTACCGTTGAACTTTGATAGATCAGTAGAGGATATTGTTGTGTCTGTCTCAGGAGTGGAGTGACTCCAGCTGTGACACAGCCTGAGCCAATGTTTCTGTCACTGCCCCTGCCTGTGATCACAGATGCAGCTTGTAAATGAATAACTCAGATCAAGGTGCGTTGGCCCATGGTAAACTCCGGTCTCTGTTATTGTCTGTCAAAGGTTGTTCTCGGTGAGGTACTTAGGGCTGGGTGCACGTGCTGCAGGGGAAGAATGAAGTTCCATTACAGTCTCATTTCCAAATAAATGAGTGGGCAGACTGTGAGATTAAAGCTCATTCTCAGGGTGCTGCAGCCTGAGTGCCAAGTGGCACAGTGACAGTGCGAGTGTTCTCAAAGACAAAAGAAGCCACCAGCCAGCTCAGCCCATTGCAAGCTCGTTTTCTTCAAAGTGCTTTAACATTCATCATATTTCTTGCACTCCAGTCATTTGAGAGGGTAGAGAAAGACACAGAAACCATCTGCTCATGGTACCTGCTCAGACTTTGAAAAGAGAAAACTTGACTTCACTTTTAGAAATGATGATCAAAAGGAAAAGAAGGAGGCTTCTTTCTTCGCTGTAGTCAGCAGCAAAAAAAGTCTAAAGAGATTTGTTTTTTTAAGCTTATATTACTTGTTTTGCATTAAAAAGTCAATTTCACTAATCCTGAAAACAAGTGAAATAAGAATGTTCTGAATCATGAGGGAACGAAAGCAAAGCACTAACTGATGTTTAATCATGCAGTTACAAGCTATTTCTTTTAAATTGTTGAATTCCACTTTTTAGCAGGCACTTTTTCAAAAGTGCTTCTACTTGCACTGTAAGATTGTATTTATTAAAACTTAGCATAAATAGTATGTTATAAAGACAGTATTTATGTGACCTCAGAGGAACGTTACAAAAACCAGCCCTAACCCTTGAAACCTGATTTTAAATGATTGCCTTTGTTATCATCTTTCTCTTACAAATCATTATATATAAAGTACAACCTGTACTACCTTTAACTCAAGACCTAATTTGAAATGTTTTGGTATGTTACCTTTTCGAAATAAAAATATATTAAATCCTGGGCTGATCAGTAACATCCGCATAAATGTTTTATCACCTCAAAATGCACTGAGCAATTGAGTAGCCACCACACTCCCAAATAACTCCAAAGGTAATGAATTACCTGTCAAACCTGTGGCTGTGGTGCATTTCTTATGGATTCATGTGCAGTTCCTCCTAGGATGACTTTGTCTTGCAGAGGAGAAGTCAGAAACCACCCTTTAGGTAGTAAGAAATTTCTGTGTCTCTTTTTTTTCTGAAATGTTCTTTCTAAACTTGATGAAATGTTACCAGAATTTAAATAATAATACTAACTCATCACAGCTCTTCTTGCTTGCAGAACTTGTCCATGAAGACTGTAGGGGGGGAAGCATTCTCCTTTACAGGTTTTATCAGCAAACTGAGTTGTATTTTTATGATAAAGCTATAATACAGTAGCTAATGATTAATAAAATCTGCCACGGCAAGAAAGCAATCAATGATTGCATTCTTTATGTTAATAAATACCTTTAAAAGCTCTGGTCTCTGATTCATGGATAAGACAGAGCACCAGTTCAGCACAGCTTGGGCTAACACTGGCCCTCCCCTGTGCATAGTGTAGTGGCCTCTGGGCTCAGGGGGTCTCTTCTGACCATCCTGGCCTTGCTAGGAGTTGGGAGGTAGGACATGGAATGTCTCATACTATTAGTTGGCCAGTAATTACTTCTGTATAAGGACTGATCTGTCATTTAAGGGCAAATAGACAATAAGATGAGCTTCTAAATCTGGCTTCTAAGCTAAAAAAAATCAAAACAGACCTGCATTAGAGAAATTCTGTTGCTTTGCTTTGCTGTACCTGTTTTTTCAGACTGGACTCCCTCTGTCTTCCGAGGTTCACTAGAGGATGGAGTGAACCCTGAGGCCGGTGGTAGGATGTGTGTTGGCACTGGCAGTGGCTGCTGTGGCCCTGGCACAGGAGGGGCCCCTTTGTGAGCTCGGCAGGGCCTGGTCCGGTTCTGCAGGTTTGGAAGGTTCTCTCAGTGCTCAAGTGTGTGGTGCAACCAGGCAGGCAAGTGCTCAGGGGGGCCAGGTTTGTCTCTGCACTTCCTTCTCTTTCCTCACCGAGGGCTTCTGAGGAGGGGAAGGAGCCCTGGGGAAGGTGCTGCTGGGTGGGTGTGCTGCCTGCTGGAAGGGGGCTGCTGGCTGGCGTTTCTCTGGTAGCCCTGGCTAGTGGTTGGGCTATACCTGCATGCTTTGAATCCAAAGTACTCTGTTCCTTCCTTGTTTGCCCAAACTGGCCTTACCAGCTTGCTGGACTGTGTCTTCACGTGAGACTTAGGCCCAAACCCACTAATGCTTCAAAGGCAGTTAGTGCTGTATTTCGAGGGGTTGTAGTTATGGGGAGCAACGAGCCCAGCTCTGGAGTTTCATGTTTACATGGAATCCTTTAACATGCTGGAAGAAAGATCAGCATTTAATACTAAAAGTTGCAAGGAGAGGTGGATGTGTTGAGTTTCCTTTTCCTGCAGAATTAGACAGCCTGTGGTTCCAGCCTTGCTTATAACCTGCCAAGCCTCAAGTATCTTCTCTCCAAAGAGTGTGTGGGTACACAAACACGCAGGTGGATGTGTGCATCTTACTCTTTTAGATTAAATCTCTCATTGCTGGGTTAATTCTGATTACTTTGTGTAATCAGAATTAATTTACCCTGTGAAAGTCCAGGGTAAGACAAGGCCTTGCCTTTCTCTTCCTAACAGTCCTAAGAACTGCCCTCTTCCTCCTTTGTTTCCCTCATAATGCTCCCCCCAGCTTCCAAACTCAAAATCTTTCTTTTGGAAATTGGAGAGAATAGGATTAGATTTTTTTTCTTTAAGGTCTTATCTGTTTTCTGAAGATGGGGCTCTCTACAACTGCAAGCCAAATACACTGTGTCTGCTTGGTTTCTTTGCTCCTCAGTGACATCCCACAAACAGAGAAAGCAGTGAGCTCTAATCAGAACATAAGAATTTTCATGGTTATTTCTACCAGTTTTTCTAGCTCCTTTCCTGCAGCCAACTACTGGCATTATTTTTTTAAGTAATAACAAAAAAGTTTCACATGTTGTTGATTCCTTTTGTCAGATGCTACATGGAAATATTTGTTAACTTTCTGTGCCAAAGGCAGTTTGAGACCATGGCCATGGAGCTGAAAATATTAAGTTCTTCCTTTTTCATTTAAATACAAAGTCTCTTTAACTTCTAGTCAAGGACTGGCACCTACTTCTAAACTAAATGCCTCAAAAGGAGATTCCTACTCACAAGGAAGAATAGAATAAATTAGTCCTTGCTCTCCTGGACTCTGTCCCTCATTCTTCACGCAGGAGTATCGTGCTCTCAGTTCTGCAGTAATAAAAGATACTCACTGCTCAATGCAAACTAAATACATCTGATTTTATGAGTGTATTGATTAAACTGTTCTGAGTGTATTGATTAAACTGTTTACAATAGAGAATGTCCACACAATGCACAACAGTAAACAAAATGCCTAAAAAAACTAGCCAGGTTCATTTGGTCAGATCCTACTGATTCTTCTTGTGACTTGTAACAAATTGCTTCTCTCCTGCCTGCCCTCACCTCTGGGCACTTTGTCTAGTTGCAATATGTGACTGGTATAAAAAGCAGATATGTCTGTACAAATGATAGCTTGTGTCTCTGCAGGAAAAATATTATTCTGTAAATGCTAGATGTTTTCTATTTTTATTACTTAGGTGTAGGTATTGGAAGCTAGAAGCAAACAGCAGTACAGAAATAACTTCAGTATATGGATATCAATCATATTAAATTAGGTATTCACCATGAAAACTCATTTATAGTCTCTTGTTTCTTCTCCTGGACTAACTGTTCTTTCTGTTGGACTAAATTAGCTGTGAGACTTGAAGTTTCTTGATAAATTCTGAGATGCTGACCCTGCCAAATTCTTGGCCAAGATCAGTGGACCTCCCTCACTTGGCATTCAAAAGCACACATGATGTTTGTTTCAGTTATAAATCTTCTTGGATATTCCTGTTAATCTGGAATTTTCCTGTGTGGAATCAGCCATATTTCTCCACAATGTACTTCTGGAGTTTTAGTCCATACTACTTAAGCCCCTTGATAGCTTTTTTCTTTTCTTGTTGAAATAGAAAGACAGTCAGTCCTGAATTTAATTTTACCGGGAGCACGAGGAAAGGAGAGAGGCTCTTTCATTTTGTTTGGGCTTGGAAGTTTCTCGCTTCTCGGCAGAGATTTCTATGAAGTCAGTGAAGTGGTTGCAGCTTTCAAATGTGGGTCAAGCAACAACTGTGGCTTAGCAGTGTTGGAGTGAAACCCCTGGGATGGGATGTGCAAACCCTGCACGAGGCCTCCTCTGACGTGGGCTGTTCAATTAGGCAGGAGGAGCCTGTCAACCCATCTGCCTGCACTTGGGTAGGAAAGAATGTAATGATGCAGACACAATCCTTTCTTCCTTGATTCAGAACAAGGGATGTGCAAAGGGAGGACAGACCCTTCACCCACGTGCAGGAGCAAATGTGGTTGGAAGCAGCTTTGCCAGCACTGCACACAGGAGCCAGAACAACAAGGCAGGGTGAACTCTGATCTTTGCTATCGTGCACAGGGAGGAGATGAAAAGGTGGTGGTTGTGCTTCTGGGTATAAATTACTGCTGTTAAGCTCTTTATAGGCAAGTAAATAAGAATTTAAAGCAATTTAGCTTTTATTCTTGGCACAGGGCCGTTATGTGAGCTCTGAGCTGGCATATGTTGTGCTGAAGTGCTGCAATGATTCAGCGCAGCTTTCCAGGGCCGTGTTGAACGTTCTTCTTGCACTGCTGTTCCCTGCATGCTGCAGCCTGAGCTCTTCTCCCAGGAGGGCCTGGCCAAGGAGCCTGCCTGCCTCCTACAGCCGTGTCAAATAGCCTGTAACAATCTGCTCTCTGGATTGGTGCTCAGCATGGTTCAGCTGCTCTTTGCAGCATCTTGCTATTTTCCTTTTGCATTTGCTTGAGACAAGCACACAAATGCTTCTGATCATGAAAATCCCGTGTATGACTGCAAAGTAGCTGCCATAAATTAAAAACTGGGAGAGGGAGAGAAAAAGGCAGAAGAATTAATGAAAAATGCTTTAGGGAAATGCTGCTGCTTCTGGAGACGACAGACACTATGATTTTCTTTACCTGTGTTCTGGCACAGTTTCTCTATGTTCAAGTTTTTGCTTTGTGATTTGCTTTTCCAGCAAACAGCAGATATTTGTGGAATGAAGAACTGCCCTTTGCTTCCATTCCTTATGCCTCTTAATAAACATCAGAGGGGGAGCAGAATAGGAACAGATATTTTTTTCTATTAGTGCAAAATATAGAATTAGCTTCGTTACCCACGTAGTCATGAATAATGTAAGTGAAGAATCTGAGTTCATCCTTGTTTTGCTCTTACTTGCACATTTCAGTGCTGTCACCACAGTGGTTTCTGTAAATACACTGTGACTTTGTATCACTGTTTCCAACAACAGCGGCAAGGCTATTTATGAGGTCCTACGTATTCCTGCCTTTCATTTTAAAGATTTAATTTTTAATGTTTGATTCAATCCTTATTCTTTTACAGTAACTTTTGCCTTCTCTGTGCAGAATATCTGGATAGCTTTAGTCTTCTTCAAGGGAGTAGGGAGCTGCCCCAGCTGAGAGCCCATCTGAGGAAATGCAGAAGTCAGTACATCTCAGGTGACTTCAACATGGGTGGCATTGGGCTGGCCGAAGTCTCAGCCACTGTTGTGAGATAGGATATCTCATCCCAAATTAAGTGCCCAGGCTATGGGCAGAAGACTATTACACATGTTGAGGTACAGACCAGGTTTGATCCTGAGCTGGAATTAGAAGTCAGATGTCCTTTTCACTTGAGCTGAAATAACTCCAATAATCCAGGCTGTGTCTCGTGGTTTGAACAGCACTGATAACATGTGGTTATGTTGATTCTGCATCTGACAAAAGCACTCTGAGTGTTTAGGGAGAGAGGATGTTATTCTGTGTCCTATCAATGACCAAAACTGGTCAGATAACAGGGCCTGAATAACTATGTTCTGATGTATCTCCTTTTAAAAAGTCAAAGATCAGCATCTGTAATCCTAAATGCATGAAAAGGCAAAAGGAAGAATTACGACTGACATGTGAGAAGAACAAGATGTGCAGATTTCTATAGAAGGAAGAGGGAATTAAGTTGTCCTTTGGCATAGGAATACCTTTTTTGGTAAACTTTTGAAGACAGATTGGCAAAGCAGTAAATAGAATATAAGGTAATAGCACTTACCTGAGTCACTATGTCCAGCCCCAGGCCTCTCGAATCCACAACAACTACTGTAAGAATGGTCTGAATCACCAGGGCAATGAAGTTGTTGAATCCAAACATCAAAGCATAGCGTTCCATGCTCAGATTGATGGCAATCTGGAACCTAATGTGAGACTGGCAGGTCAGTGACTTTCCAGTTATTGCCCTCCAGTCAGTCAGTGAAGAGAAATGATTCATGGAGATGATACATCAAGGACAGAGTAAACAGTGCTTCGTTTGTTTGTTTGCTTCCTTGCTCACTCTAAAATAGAAAGCCTTTAGTACCATAGTATATTTTGATGGTTTTTTTACTTGTCTGTGCTGCTTTTTCAAACTATACTATCAGGTGGTTGGTACAATATCAGTTCTCTTTAACCCTTTGCTCCTTCTCAACCCCCACAGACTGTGCCAGACAGGCTGTAAAGTCTCCATGGTTGGGGTCTTTCAGAGACCTGACCAGGCAAAGCCATGACCTGATCTGGCCGTGGCAGCAGTTCTGCCCTGGCAGGGACGTCAGACCAGAAGGTCGCTGTGGGTATCTTCCAACCAAATTTTCTGTGATGATGTGAGTCACTTTTTGCTTTGGGGCTTGACAGTGAAGGTAGCATGCTGTTTATTTCTGTCAAGAGCCTGTAGATTTTACTTGCAAATCTTTTTTGATGATAGTTAGAAATCTTTCCCTGCAATAGCTACCTGCAGAGTTTATATCTGAACAAAAGGGTATTATTCCTTCAGGACTCACTTTAATTGATTTTAGCATGTTTTTTATGTGCAAGCTTTGACTCTTTTTGTTGTTGGTGGTTTTGGTTGGTTGGTTGGGTTTTGTTCTGTTTTGGTAGAATATTTTGAAATAGTTCAGGTGTGATTTACTATAATGTGGTAGCAATAAACCAAAATGAAAACAAAGAGTTCACTTGGCTTCATTTGAGAGAGGCATAATCTTGCCATGCATTATAATTTTAGCGGGTTTTTTAAAATGGTTTCTGACTAATTATGGGTTTTGACATAAAATGCATCTGGTATTTCTGTTAATGAACTAGTGTGGTATGTCTGAAGACATTCCAAGCAATAAATAACTGGAATAATAACATATTTATTGCACAGATTAAATATAATATTTGCTATTAATATTATTATTATAGCTTGGTCTCCTAAGAGATCTTGTCCAGTGTTCTCTTTTACTCCTTCTTTACATCCTAATATCTTTAAGTATTATGTGTATAAAATTACATTGGGGAATGCTCTATGTCAAATCTTCTCGAATTCATGCAGTTCATGGCATGCTAAAAGGTTTATCAGCAGGTGGTCTAGACATTATAGGATGGCTGTCAAGGTATGCTTGTCCCTGTTGTTCACTTTGCATCTTTCCTTCAAGAAAGAAGGAAAACAGCTTCTGCATTTTGCTGTTACCATTCCCTTTAGTACTAAAGTTACCTTGTACTTTGTTTAACTTCTGCCTAGTTAAACATTCAATTTTATGAATATTCAAAAATTTTGATAATTTTTCTTTTGTGGTTGTTTAGAAGAATGAAAACAACATAATCAGACATTTAACTGTCCTTGTATTTACCCACACAGTTATGTCTAGCATTAGGTCCTCTTTCTCTGAGGAAAAGGAGGGATGCCCAAAGCAAACTCAAGGTAGGGTCAGCATTCTGTGCATAAAGGCAGCACTGTCAGGTTTTATACTTACGTTGCTATTGTCAGGAGGAGCATATAGCAGGCCTTGAAAATGAGATAGCCAGCATAACACGCCCAGATGTTGGTAGAGAAGTGCATGAGAAACAGAGAACCAGCATCTACTGCAGAGAAGATCCCTAAAGCCAGTTCTCCAAACAGGTCCCAGTTAATTTTCATATATTGTACTAGGAAAGACGTTACTGAGCCTAGAAAAAGAGAAAAATGTGTAAATGTTGTATGTGTTCCATAGCCTGTATCACCAAATCTTGCCACCCTCACGTGCCAAAAGGCAATGCCAAATAATGAAGCAGAGTAGTTCTGAAATTTGAAAGCATTTCTGATGACTTCTGCAGCCATGCAGATGACTGGTCACTTTTAGACAACTGCATAAATCAAGTCTCTGCCATTCTGTTCTTAGTGCTTTATTCCACTTGACAGGATAAACTGTAATGTAGAAGGATTGATTATTTGGTTGTCTGTACCCAGCACGTATCTCTAGGGAGAGAACTGGGAACACAGTTTGGAACTCAAAAAGTTTCTTCCAGCTTCTCCTAGCTTACTGCACAGCTAGGCTAGTAAACCTGCTAATGTAACAATTTAGCTCCATGCACCTCATAAAGGAGGTAAGCTGCCAAAAATTGAATTTTGTGAGGTATCAGAAGCGTGTATCCAAGGAAATGAGAAAGGATAAGCACTGTTTGCTCTTGGTGGGCCTCCTAGAAGGTGCATCTGTTGCAAAGATAAGCCACCTGATTTAATATCTTCTGTACTTCTATATGGAGAAACAGGCAATTCCATGACAAAGAGGAATTTGTCAAGGAGAAAAATATTCTAATTCATGATTCACTTGGTCTATTTAATTGCCTGCCTCAAGACAAGAGTAGTATCTATTTCTCCTTAATGACTGTAAGGGTAACCTGAATGACTAGGTGTGATGTAGACATGTTTATTTTCCCTGGTGGATCACACCCCAAAGTCTTGTGCAAGTTCTCTACAGCAGCACAATGTGATTATGTGAAACTCTGCCAAGGCAGGGTGGTGTTCTCTGATGTTACCTTTTGATAACCTCACTTTGCTTGTGTGGTGTGAGCATCTGCTGCTGGTGCAAAAGTGGAATACTTAACATCAGTCGCGTAAGGAATTCAATGGGGTCTTTTTTGCAAGTCTCTGCATCTTGCAATGACTAAAATTCTTCTTTTTTTCCAGCTGCACAAGAGTATTTCACTAGAAAAAGATCTTAATTAGAGGATTATGTTCTTTTGGTGTAAAATATTTAGAAATAACTTCTCCCATCTGTGTAAGCTGATAGCATTGTTATGGGAACAGTGCCATACTGTTTTGGGAAAAAAAACCCACCCAATATCCTCATCCAAAGACACACGAGTGCCTCTGAATGGATTTACCAACTGGATATAAAGTCTGTGTAACTTGCACAATTTCTGCATACTGGTAAGACAGAGTTGGTTATCTGGTCCTAAAGAAAAAGCAGCATAGCTCATATTTGAGCTGTTGTAGATCAAAGAATGAGGTCTGGAAGGCACAGTGCGTGCAGTGGCTCCCTGGAGTGCCTGCAATAGAATGGCACTTTAAAAGCTTTCTCAAGTAAAACTTTAGAGACTGCCTTTGTGATCAATGTTTAGACATTAACTTACTCAGAAAAGTCGCTAGTGCTTCAACAGCTCCATTGTACACTGCAGAGCTGTGAGAGGGGGCTCGGAAATCCCACAGCACTTGGATATAATTCAGCACTTGGTTAAAGCCGGCCGTAGCCAGAGCCCACCACAGGGACCAGTAGAGAAGTTTCCTGGAGCTGTAGCAATCCCTCAGGTCCTTGCTCAGCTGCACCAGCACTCTGAGCATGTGATTCCAGGGCTTGGCATTCCCAGCCTGCTGTTGGGGTGTTGGGCTCCTGCCAGCAGAGTCGGAGCTCGTGTCCTCTTGGCAGCTCGAGGGACGGTCAGAACCGGCCGGAGCCGCAACTTTGTCAGGCCCCGGGAGAGACTGGGAGGCATCTTTCCTGTGGAAGAACATGCTCTTCTGGGGCATGGGGAGGAAAAACGCACACAGGAAGGCCAGGGCCACGGAAGCCAAAGAAATGGCGTTGAGGTAGAAGTAGGACACGTCTGCCAAGGACACCAGCAGCTGTCCCAGCACGGCAGCAACAGTGGCTGCCGCCAGAGTGCTGCTCCTGCAGTAGCTGGTCACCCTCTGGTAGCGGTTGGTGCTGACCACGCTGTAGATGTAGGCGTAATAGGCCACCTCAGTGGCCGTCACCATCCCGTAGAAGAATTCCACCACCTGCATGGCCAGCACTCCGTGTGCAAAGAGGAGCAGGAGCCAGGTGACGATGAGGCTGATGCCCTGGAGGAGGAGGACGGGCTTGTAGCGCAGGTAGTCTGTGAGCAGGAAGACTGGGAACAGGAGGGCGAGGTAGGAGTATGTCCAAACAGGCAAAATCTGGTTGGTAACCTAGAACAGAAGAGGAAATGTCTGTGTCTTTATTCTCAGGAAAAGGAAGTTCATGCATTTTTTATAGCTTTGTAGAGGGAAGTTTTTGCTCTGAAGGAATTCATAAAATATATAACCACGCTGAAGCAGCGTGGGACTGTTGGGCAGGCAAATGGATGTTAGATCCATTAAATGGATCTTTTATTTATGCTGTCTGCTGCAAACTGTAGCCTGCCAAAGCTGATTACAGTTATGCTTTTTTTTTCTTTTGATCTTTGTTTAAATACTTTAAACACAGTTTTCCTTTTCTATTTTTGCTGCTCCAGGTAAAAGAAACATCAGAGTAAAACCATACCTCATCTGTGGTCAGGTTTTTATCTGGTCCTGTTAGATAGGGTGTTAGGAAAGGTTCTGATGGTTTCATCATGTAGAAGAATCCATAGAGGCAGAGAATCAGGGTGGGAAAAGTCCAGGTGCTGCTTTTCTCTTGCTTCCAGCAGGCCATGGCCTCTGCAGCAAAGCCAAAGAGAAGGTTTGTTAAGAGGGATGATGCTGCCTATGCAAGTGCAAAGAGATCTTGTAATTAATTTCTATTTTGTGGTTTCTAATGCTAAGGGGTGCTCTTTAGAGGTTGACAGTTGGAAAACATTTTTCTTTATAAAGTTAAAGTGAACAGCTTTTCCTTACATTTGTCTGCTGCCTCTCTGTCTTTGTAGAAAGTGCATAAAGAATGAATCGGAAGATCTTTAACTGGGAGACAAACTACACTGTCATTCAATGTGCACTGACCAAGATAAACACAGGAAAAGCCTTTCTAGACAGAAGTGGCTGAAGACAGCTGAGCATGGAGATTTCCCTTGACACCATGACTGATCACAGCCAAGCACCTTGTTGAGTGACAAGTAACTAGTTCACAGTTGCTGTTTTTTCTCCCTCGGCTCCTAGATGTGCGTGTCTTTCCTTTTATGGAGAGCTGGTAACTCTGGAGCCCAGCAGATGGGAGTTGCTAATAAATACACAAAGGATATCAAGCCAGACGGTCATTAATTGACAATCTGGAATTAACTGCATCAGAAATCAAGTTTGGATAAAGACATCGTATCTTCCATCTATAAAACTGGTCACGGAAGATAATAGTCTGTACTAAAATGAAATGAAGCAGATATTTTTCATGTTGTCTCTAGGTGAGATGATGGAATAGATTAAAATTTGCTACTCTGCTGGAGAGAGCCCAAAGAGAAGTCAAAATGGGTGTCATGGGGGCATGCAAAGGAAACAGACCGTAAGTTATAGTCCATATTCATGTTGGTATAGGCAATGTCAGGAATCTAAATGCATCCAGTTTATCTTTTGAAGCCCTTTGGAGGTTGTTAATAAGCAGATGGGATTTTCACCATTCTGCTTTTGGTTTTTATCAGCTTCCCTCCTGAGAACTTCTCCCTTAGGCAAAAGTTTTAATCTTAAAAATGAAGTAGTGTTTTTCCTCAATTTTTTTTTGTAAAAACTGAAGAAAGAGCTATTCAGCCAAAAATATTCATGTCCTGATGAGTACATTTCTCCAGACTGGATGGACAGAGGATGCTCTTTTTCAGGATGTGATATATATAATATATAAGGCAGTAGGCATTATGCATTTTCTTTTCTAACTTCGCAGATGGCAGCACATTTTACTAATGGCCTGATGCACTAAGAGATGGGTGCAGATCAGGGGGAATTGGAATTATTTCCTTTGCTACATAACGGCTGAAAACATCAACATTAGAGGACTTGCAGCAGAAACGAACTCAGCTCTGTAGTGTGAACCACTAGAGGGCAAGGTAACCCCAGCAAAGGGAAAACGAGTACGGGAGGATTGTGAGATACTCCAAGCATTTAAGGAAGGAAGCGTTTCTACTCCTCCCTTCCCAGTTGTTGTAATATCGGTCTGCTGCAAACGTGGCTTTGGCAGGACTAGTTTCGGCCCTGCCCAGAATAACACTCATTTAGTCACCATAACATCCCTTTGCTTTTCTTTCACATGATAATCATTAAAGCTTTACAGCATCCTGATGCCATGTGAACGCTTCATGTGGTATCCTGAGATTCTGAGAAAGGCATCAAAAAGAGTGGGGTGAAGAGCATCTCTTGCACTGTAATGAAGGACATTTGTACAAGTTAGCTCTGTGACTTAGCCAGGCCATACTTTTCCCTTCCCATCCTAGATTCTCTGCTCCAGTCTGTTTTGGGACTTGCCATGTTTGCTCTCCCCACAGCAGGCTGTGTGACACAAGGGCAGAAGGTCTCATGGATCCTTTCAAAACGTCCCCCACCTTGGAGGTGAGTGGGGCAAGCTGCTGTCTGCCCAGGGTTTGCAGGGTGCTGTGTGCTGCCCCTCTGATGCTGCCCATTGGTGGAAAGGCTGCACCTAATTAGTAATTTATGGTTTGACTGTATACAGAAGAACTTCAGGTGTGCCCTGGTCTCTGCATCCCTCCAGCCCCAGCACATGCACTGTTTGGGGGTTTTGGCTAGACATGTACCTCTGGTTGGTAGTCTTTGAGGTGCCTGTGTTAGGCTGGCAGGGAAGTCAGATGAGAAGTTTCCCACTTGAATGAAGCAGCTGTGCAGAAAAAAACCTGCCACTGGTGCTGAGCTGGGAAAGGCAGTGGGCTGAGGGCTCTCAGGGGCAGCCCACTCTGCCCTTGGGGAGGGGGAGGTGGGTGCCCCCCCATCCACACTGGAGTGTGTGTTCTCCTCACACCCCAGCCCTTGGCCATCAGTGCAGCCCCGGCTCAGCTCTGCAGCTGCTCGTGTAACCACTCCTTTCTGCATTCATAACCACAAACCTCTGACAGCGAGAGCTGTGCCTTGGTGCATTAGGGGAAAGGATCCAACTTGTTCCCATTCAGTCACCCCATATGGTCATTTCCTATTTTATAAATCTAGGTTTTTCTTAACTTTTCAAGATATGGTAGGATGCCTTGGTGTTATTCTGCAGCAAAACAATTCTCTGTTTCCTCCTGCAATTCTTGGTGCCCGAGCTGTCAGCTCTTCTCCCACTCAGTCTGACCCAGCCTGCCAGTTCCCCACCAGACAGCTCTCTTCTTTTCTCCCAGTTTCCCTTGTCACTGGAGGATTTCTGATTTCCAGTGTTCATATATAATCGTACCTTGTCTGCTGGAGCTCTTCCTTTCTTACTTCCAGGGGAAAAGTCTCCTTTTAGTGTTTCCAACCTTTCTTCTGGCCGTCCTGTGTGTATTGCAGCTACTGGACTGTGTTTGGTTTTATGCTTTCCTGTTTTTCTGGTACTTCAACTTGCTCTGACACCTCCTTTGAAATTGCCTCCAGTTGGCTTTCTTTCAGCATCCACGTTCCCTTAAAGGAACAGCCAGATAATCCTGGCCTGTCTTTGCCCAAAGGCAGCAGTAAATCAAGACTGAAACTACAGTTTGGTGCTTGACTGGCACATAATCAATAGAGATAATTCTGTTCCCAAAGAATTTTGGATCTATTTGACAGGATAGGTGGCTTTAGACCCACCTGTCCTTCAAACTGGTCTGTATTAAAGATGGAGCAGTAGCTATGTGTGGGTAATGACAGAGGAGACAGAGAGCAGATACCAGTGTTGTAAGATTTGAATGTTTCCCCACTACATACTTGGGGTTTCATACTATTCTGGGAAGTTTAAAAAGTAAAACACTCTTGACTTGTTGGTTGGCAAATTTCTCAGGTTTTTTGCTTAGGCGGGTTCTCACAGTTCTACTGAGGATGGAGATGGCCCACAGTCAGCTTTTCACAAAAAGGAAAAATCCTACAAATCTAGATCCACTCCCACCCTGTAGACATGAAGGTCTGGAAGGAGGCATATAATAATTGCTTAGGAATGTGAGCAGAACAGTAGGAAAATGTAATTTGTAAATATTTTTAAATAACAGTAAATAATCCAATCAGAGGAAGGCAGCATCTTGGTTCATACACAGTAAAATGGAACAGTAACTTTAGGGACATAAACATTAATATGAAAAACATATGAAATTCCCTGGGTCTGAGGAGTTGCCCAGCTCAGCCAGTCCTTTGCCTTCAGCCTTGGCCACATTTTGTAGCCTTTTTGCCTCCTACTCCTCAACAGTCAAAGTTATTAGATTAGTGATGTGAGACTGGCCATCCCTGCCTATTTCCTTTGTAATTTGTTTGTTGACCTTTGTCCATGAAATCACCTACTCCTGCCTGAGATAGTGCTGTTCACTTATCAAGTCATAGAATATCTCGAGCTGGAAGGGAACCACAAGGATCATTGAGTCCAACCCTCTGCTCCTCACAGGACTATCTAAAACTAAACCATGTGTCACCCACGTGCTCCTTGAATGCTGACAGATTTTGTAATATATATTAAACTAATACATGAAGGGAATGTAATAATTCCTTTGGCACTTTCCCAGCTATCAGTCACTGTCTGACACTGATTCCAGAGCTATTTTTGGTTCTGCATGTTTAATTGAACCTGTGGCTATAGCAGGTGACAGCTCATCTGAGAGGACACTGTGTCTGCCTGCATTTGGTTGTATTCTCAAGGACTCTTGCTAAAATGCAGAGAACTGTTGAGGTGAACAGTGTTACTTGGGATTTGCATTGACTTACTGAGGCAAGAATCCAACTTGAATTTCTCAGCACTGAGAAAAACCCCAAAATTCTCTTTTTCCTGTAATGTAACAATGAGAAAGAATGATTTAAGTAACTTCCAGGCATTGATATTTGGTTTTTCTGCTTTCAGATCCTTTTTTATCCTTTATTATTTGTTCTCTCCATAGACTTTAGTCCATCTTGTTTGTACTTAAACTTTCATCCTTTTTCACTGATTAGATCTGAATGCCAAATGGAAGACTCTAAAAATGTGATGAGTTTATGCAAGTTTTTGGTCAACTTGAGCCCTATGCCATAAACTGCCTGCAGCAGAGTTTCATTGCTGGGTTTGAATAGGACCATACTCTTTATGCTGGTCCTGCTTGGAGATTGTTCTGCTTGGACAGTGGGCTGGGCATCTGTTACTAGCTGGCATCCCAATTCTGTTCAGCTGGGAAAGGGAAGATTCTGTAAGAACTAGAGAAAAGGTGAATTTTATGGTATCTATATATATTTGTTAGTATATCCTAATGAGTTAATGTAATATGGTCTCTAATGTATCAAGAAGACAGGAAAATTCTGAGAAGGGGCAGAAAAGGCAGTAAGAGAAAAGACTGCAAACCTCTGTCATCCTGGTACTTTCTCCTGCCTCTGCTGCCCATTGGGCTCGATCCTGGTGTTCTCTCTGGTGCTTTGCAGGATGGCACTGAGGCTGAGAGACTGTGGCTGTGTGAGGTATGTGTCTCCCTCTCTGTCTGTGCTGATCTAGGCACTGACTTTCAGTTCACAAACCACATCTGTTTCTTGACACCTGGCTGACTGAGGCGAGGAGACTTTGCAAATCAAACTGAAGGCATATTCTTTTTGAAGAATGTGTACTATACTCTCAAAAGAAAGCAGCAGCAAAGAAAATTTTCTGTGGCTAACGCTGGAGATTTTTCTCAATTGACGGTCAAATACAACCCACACACAGAAAGGCTGCAATGGCAGCTATGAAGATTAAACTGAATTTTCATTGGATTTCTCAGACCCAGGAGTATTCACAGGGCAAGTTCACTTTCTCATTCATGGATGAGCTGATCTTTATCTTTTCTCATATAAACTACATGCTCGCTTTGGGAACAAGCTGCTCTTTGCAGTCTGGCCCTGAATCCCACAGTGTGTGGGTGAGGGTTTCCACAACTCCCCTCTCAGCTGAATCTCACTCAGGGTTCCTAAGGTGGTGAGACACTCATGGTGGGCCCAGGTGCTTTTCATCTGAGACACTAAAATGCTTGTATGCAAAGTTTAGTTTGGAATATTTAGCTAAAAGGTACTAAGGGCATTACTCCAAGGAGCAAGTTAGAGAATACATTCAACCACACTAACGTTTCAGGTATTTAGTTTAAATGTAGACTTACAAGTGCTTCCTTACTAAAAAGTAATGATGTAAGGTTATTTTTCACTACACTGTACCTTATATAAGGATCGTGCCTTTACTTCTTAGTCACTCTTTGTTTTCCTCTTTATTTTACTCTTCTTACTCATGTCACTGGAGTGTGCATTGCCACTTGCACCGTGCAGGCTAGGGGCTTCTGGTAGCATTGCAGGATCTCCATTTAACCACTGGGCCATTAATTATCACCCTGAGACATTTTGGGGGGTTAATTAATTTTTCTTACAGACAGCATTTTAGAGGTGCCACACTTGGATGTTTGCACAAACAAGGCCTGGATCTCTTGGTATAATGTGCTACGAACATGGCATGGAGCACATAGAAGTTCTGTGATGGGTTTATAAAGGCTGGTTGAACCTTCTTTGCCTGCAGAGCCGTGCTTTATGTCCCCTTTTGTACACTAAGAACTCTGGGTAAGGGCTGGGTTGAAAGGAGTGCTTTACCCTCTTAATCTTTTGGTTTTGACCACGGAAAGTAAAGTTCCATTAGCTGCTGGCAATGTGAGTCACTGGTTGGATTGTCCCTTCTTTCGGTTAGTGTTTCATTGCTAAATTCAATGTAGGTGGCAGGTCACCACTACAGTTGCAAAAGACCAGGGAAGCAGCATCCAAATTATGCTGGGTGTCCTCTTGGAAGCACTGCCGAGGCTTTACAGGCATCCTTATTTGTACCACAGTGACCTGATTTGTTCCGTGTCTCTTGCGAAAACCTGTCAGAGGCTTTCGTAGGTTTCCAAATAAAGGTGGTTCCCACTGGCTGAGGACTGGGTTTGTTGGTTGAGCAAGATCCCCCTTTCACTTTCTCACTCATACTGGCACAAAGCACACTTTGGTCTCCCAGTTGGGGGGTGCAAAGCAGTGTGGTTCAGAGGACTCGTGGAGCTGAGCCAAAAAACAGTCCAGCATGTGAAAGCATCTGTTGATTCTCTTCTGCTACTAAATTTGTTTTTCAAAATGAAGCTGTTTGTGAGTTTTGTGGTATCTTCCTCTTTGTTTTATAGGTCTGAGAATGCTGGAAAATTAAGTTTTATCTTTTTTTGTTTGGTTGGGTTTTTTTATGTTTCAAAACTACTTTTGAACAATGGCAACAAAATCAAGCAACTTAAATAGACAATAAAATTTCCAGGATTGAGCCAGACAGATGATATCTTATGTATGGCCTCTCTCTGGGCATCAAGGTTTATTTTGGCCTTAAATGCCAAATTTATTTCTGTTGTAATTGTGCCAATAGCAAATTACTGTCATGAAACTTCTAAAATGCAGAACCAAAATTCCAAAAATATTGTGATCTGAAGTTTACTGGAAGGTGGGGAAAATCTTCCTGTTGCACTGAATGAATGTTACAGCAGGGCAGAAGGGCTTACAGAAGAAGGTTATGCCTTAAGTAGTTCCTTTAGTTTTACATTTTTTTTTCCAGATCATCAGTGGAGAACAGGAACTACTACTTTGTCAGTGGGATTCTCTGGGGACTTTCTTTTCAAATAAAATTTTATGAGGACATTACTGTAGGTTTGCAGCTGACTTTTATGCAAGTGCTGACTGTGGGTGGGTATACTGGGCTCTGGGCTCCTTCTGCTCCCTACACTGTCTGTCAGCTCTTCTAATGGCATAGAAATGTCACTGTTTAAAGGAAGAACAGCAGTTTGGTGTCTCTGGATGCGGTGGGCAAAGATGATTCTGGCAAGGAAAAAGTGGTTGAACTTTTGCTGTGACTGCAAATCTATCTTTTTACCATCACTTTGATGTCGAGATTGTCAGTGTAGTTCACAAGCTGGTTTTGAGCTCTTCACTTCTGCAAATTGTGGTTGAGACTGTAGCTAATAAGAACATTTTGCTTAATACTTCCTTGATAACGAGCTATATGTTACATGTAAGAATTAAACAACAGCTTTCACAAAATACCAAATGCTCTAAAAGTTGAGGCCTGTTTTCTCATCAGTGCCAACCCCAGATCAGCCCCATGACACCTATGCTCCCCATGATGAATGAGCCAGCCAAGTTCCAGGAATCCACTTTTGCTGATTTTTTTTTTCAGTAGAAATGAAAAAAACCTCATCTTTTAAATTCAGCGCCATTGCTGTTCCACACAGTAACAAAAAATGAGCAAAACCCATGCTTTTAGGAGATGAGAAAGAGAATAAAATATTCTATTAAGCTTCATCTTTAGAATTTGGAGGGCACTGTAGTTAGAAATGGATGTGTGGGATATGATTATCCCAGCACCAAAAAACCTCTCATATCTCCAAGTTTTCTACTTGATGATTCAATCTGGTGACTTTGACATCCTATTTGTAGTTCTTGTAACGAAGCCATACAATCTAATTCAATGCACACTCTTTGCTTGTGCTCTAGTCTTTATTGCATACTGTTAAAACCTCCAGTTAAGTAACAAAAAGGAAATGAGACATAGGTCAAAGAAATCTCATTTGAATAGGTTAATACTTGTAGCGACTAGTGGTCACTTACTGTGGATTGCCAAAGAGAAATGAGAGGAAAAACCTGAAAGGATTTCCAAGTAACTTTCCGTGTTGAAAGATCACTTTCCGTGTTGAAATATCACTTTCCAAGGCGTGTTCCCTTGTACACTGATCCTACAAACCTCCCCCTGCTGGCAGATTTTGCCTTGTCGTCACAGACTGACGCCTCATTTCGGAGATGCAAATTTGTGTTTGCCCAACTAGTGTGTGTAGGAAGTTTCAGCTCAGCAGCTCCACTTTACCTTTTTTTTTTTACCCTCAAGGTGCATCTCGCTACAGACACTATGGGAGACTTTGAATCATTGCAACAGCCCAAGTAGTGTAAAGTCCTGCTGGAAGAGCATTTGTCATATTTTGACAAGTGCTCATAATTAGCTGGCTGCTTCATTTATTGCTAAATTGCTAATGACGTTTGAGACAGACTTAAAAGAAATGCATCACACTGCTAGTGTTTGCTTGAAATTAAGAATTCTTGTACTCAAAATGTCCTGAGTTCTTCTAATACCTTGATTTCTTGCCAGTTCAGAAGAATTTGGATCATAGAGTCATCAAAGTCTTTGGGGTTGGTTTGTTTGTTTGTTTGTTCACTTGTAACAAACGTGGATAGAGCCTTCCTAAATCTTAGTTTGCGAAGCCTAGCCATGATGATGTTTGTTCATCAACAGCATGTGAGGTTTTATCCCTTTCATGAAGAATAATTTTATTTTATGTGGTCCAAGCTTTTCTCCATGTGCCTTCATCTTCCTGTGAGTCCTCTCAAAGGCAGAGCAGTTAGAGTGTATGTGTCATATCCTGAAGCTCTGCCCCAGTTCCCATGTCCCTTGATGTGCTAGGTTCTGCACTAACATGAGTAGAAAAAAGGACCAGTCTGATCTCAGGGAGGCTGAGCCTACTTACTCGAGGAGAAGATATTCTTGTAAAACACAGTTCATTTTGGAATAGCAGATTTCTACCAAGACCAGATTGCTTGACTTAAAACATCTTTTCTGGCTCTGGCTCTTGCCTTGTGAGCAGACTTGCATGGTTGGGAACAGCACCTTCCTTAAAGCCCCAGCCAAGGGCCCAACCAACAGAGGACTGCTGGGGCTGACTGGAGTTGTCCAGGCTAGCAATAAGTAAGAAAGACTTTGACAATGGGGGCAAGCAAGATCATGCTTGAAGAAGCCAAGGGGAACCTTGTAGGAAGAGAAGAAAAATTACCCTGACAGATGTTTCCTTAACAGGACCTAGGAAAAGGCTGACTTTGTTAGGGCCCACAAATGTCTCTTGCAAGAAACCAAGAAGTGAGGACTAAGGTCCAGAAAAGGGGTGTAGGAGGATAAGAAAGTCAGTTATCTCAGTTTTACTGTGCAAAAGAACCTGTAAGAATCAGGACAGAAGGACTTGGATGTGGTAGTGTGTTTTCCTTGGGAAAAGGGCAGGACTCTGGGACAGAAGGAAGTCTGAGCCAGCTGCTTTGGGAAACTGTGGTTTAAATCTCCTCACAGGAAAGTCCCTATAATGTAACTGTGTAGTGCTGAAAAGCTGCAGTGATTGCAGCATTTGTCTTGAGAAGGCCTGTGACCACAGCTACTCTGCCAGGCTTCATAACACAGCTACTCAATAGGGTAAACTAACAGCTATTAAAAACAATCTTGTTTGGCTGCTTGTTTGGCAATCCAAAAAAAGCAGGTGTCACTGGGTATTTTTAAGCTGGTCTTCCAGTAATGAATGACAAAACACTGTCTGTGTCAATCATGTGCTAAGTTGTCTAGAGTGAGCACATGTTCTATATGTCAAGTGCGTCTTAGTAAAACCTTCAGTCAATGAGTCCTCTTGGTAAACCTAAAACTTTACCACTTCATGTTACTTAGTTCTTCTTTCTCCTCTTTTCTTTGTAAGGTTTGTTTTACTTGCTTTAGGTCTACTTGAGAAAGCAAACACAGAACACAAGAAAAAAAGCAGCTTCACATTTTCTAAATTATTCTCTTCTAATTTTATACAAAACCATGTTTCCATTGAATTCACAAATAGTTTCAGACCATCTAAAGCTGCATTTTAACAAAAATTATAAATCCCAGATTTTTTTTTCCCTACCTCTATTTTTTTCTGTTAATTTTCAAGATCTGGAAAATGTCATGTATTTCTCTTTCATAATTTCCAAGGAATAGCATCTTTTTCTCATCTTTCTGAATTAAATATTTTTAAAATGCAAACCCTCATTTATTATTACTGGAAGACATTTTGATGTTCAGGCTGTGGATTTTGAATCCAGCCATTCTCCTATTCCAGATCTTCTTTGGGGTCTATACATCTCAGGGAAACTTCTAGCCAAACCAGAGCAGTGGAGAAGCACTGACTGACTTGTGCAGAGGTGGTGATGTGAGGGCTACAGCGAACCAGGAGATTCAGGCTGTTTCAGTGTGGTTGCATGATGACCTTAGTGCTGAAAAGTTGCTGATAGCTTTTTTTGGTGAAGATTTCAGAATGTTAGACACATTACTACTTAATTACATTAAGTAGCAATGTGTTTAACATCCTTACATTACAGTAATTATTTACATTAATTCCTTACTTACTCGCATTACTACTTTTTGTAAGCAGGTTTCTTTTTGTCTGTAAATGACTCTTGGTGGTCTCAGTCCCTTGCAGGAGATAGTGTATGATCTCAAGCGATTCCTTTCCTTCTTCCTCAGGTTTGTGGAAGTTATGCAGAAAATCAGCACTTCTCGACTTCTTTAATAATCAGAAACGTATTAGTCAAAATGTTTCTATTTTTGTGTTTATTATGCCGAAAGGCAAATACAAATTTGAATTGGAAAAGAAATGGAGCCATAATAAAACAAATATAATGTAACCTAGAGCTCAGCTTGGCAAGCAGCTTTTCATTGTTTCTTCTTTTAACTATATGATGGGTTGACACTGGCTGGATGCCAGGTGTCCACCCACACTGCTCTATCACTCCTCCCCTCAGCTGGACAGAGGAGAGATAATATAAGGAAAGGCTCAAGGGTCAAAATAAGGGCAGAGACAGATCACTCACCAATTGCCAACATGAGCAAAACAGACTCAACCTGGGGAAATTAGTTTAATTTATCAAACCAGAGCAGGATAATGACAAATAAGACCAAATCTTAAAGCACCTTCCCTCCACATTCCCTTCTTCCTGGGCTTAACTTTACTCCTGATTTTCTCTACCCCCTCCCCCCAGCAGCACAGGGGTATGGGAATGGGGGTTTTGGTTGGTTCATCACCCATTACCTCTGCTGCTTCTTGCTCCTCTGGAGGACTCCTCATACTCTTTCCCTGCTCCAACATGAGCTTCTCTCTCCTTTGGGCCACAGGTCCTGCCAGGAGCCTGCTGCGGCGTGGGCTTCCCAAGAGGTCACAGCCTCCTTTGGGCATCTCCCTGCTCCAATGTGGGATCCTCCATGGGCTGCAGGTGGATTTCTGCTCCACTGTGGACCTTCATGGGTTGCAGAGGCACAGCTACCTCACCATGGACTACAGGGGAATCTCAGCTCCAGCACCTGGAGCACCTCCTGCCCCTCCTTCTGCACTACCTTGGGATCTGCAGAGTGCTTTCTCTCACATATCCTCCCTCTTCTATCCATCTGCATTTGCACAGGTTTTTATCCCCCTCCTAAATACATTATCCCAGAGGTGCTGCCACTGTTGATGATGGGCTCAGCCTTGTCAATTGACAAGTCCCTCTTGGACCCAGATAGCATTGGCTCTGTCAGACACGGGGGAAGATTCCAGCAGCTTCTCAGAGAAGCCACCCCTGTTGCCCACCCTCTACCAAAACCCTGCCATGCAAATCCAATAAAGACTATTTTTTTCATCCTTCTTTCCAGTTATAGGCTTTGTCTTCAGCTTTGATAGGTCCATTTCTGTGAAAAGGTGGTTGGCTATCCCAAGGGCTGTAGACAAAATAGAGTTAGCTTAGAGAGAAATCTGCTCTCAGAACACTGGATACTCAGCTTCTATATGTATTTAGCAGCAAGCAACCAGCAGTGCTAGGATGGATTGCCAAAGAGAAATGAGATGAAAAAGGTGAAAGGATTTCTAAGTAACTTTCCTTGCTGGAAGATCACTTTCTGTGTTGAAAGATCACTTTCCAAGGTGTGTTCCCTTGGTGCTGGGATGTTCACAGGAGGTGCACCAGTCTCCTCATAACCTGCACTTTCGATAGGTGAGAGGTTAATTTCTCCCAAAAGGCATATGATAGGTCCATAATTGCATCAAAGCAATGTCATTCTATAGTATTTCTGGATCTGTAACTTAGGAAGTGCAACCTATAATTAGCAAAAATTGCCTTCTTCCTTCAGACGACAATTTTGTCAGTCACACAAGCATTGAAGTGCATGAAATCCCCGGATTGCATCACAGCCTCTAAAGCTCCAGAGGTATTGAGCAAGTTACCTGTGGAACTTTTGTGCTTGGCACTTATTATGAATGTATACATCAGGGATTGTGCAATGATTAAATCCCTGCATTTGGCCATGATCCTTTCAGCTAGTGCCTTCTCATGCCCTTTGCTCTGTCAAAGGAGTCCTAAACCACTGGAAATTACAGAAGGGAATTTCCCCCATTCAGTTCTGTTTTTCCTGTATTGCTGTAATGCTTTATTTTCATCAGTTCAGACAAGGCAGTAATATGCATTAAAACAACATCTCTTTGTGAGGGTGAATAAACATGGAAATTTTGGTTAACTGCCAGTCAATTAACAAGTGTCAATGTTTCTCATTGTAGGGTATAGGTAAAAATATAGACAATGTCTAACATCCAAGTAGGTAAGAGATGTTTTGGGGTTTCTTATTTTACTCTTTCATGTTTAATATTAGACCTAAACTCATAAAGTGACTATAAGATATAGTCTATCAATCAAATAGTTAATGATCATAAAATTCCTTCTCTATCTTTCTCTTCAGAAATTAATGATGTTTTTTAAGCCTTGCATCTGTTTTTTTAGGAGCTGCATGGTCAAATAGGTTACCATTGTGGGGCTACAGTTTCAAAGCTGATCCCCCCCAAAATAATGGCCATTTTTCCACTGGAATAGGGGTATTTATCAAGGCTGAACTATTAAGTCCCTTCAGCACTTCAGACTTTCAGCAGGTCCTTTGGGATAAAAGAGAGGAGCATATTACCAGGATGCAGCAGCCTGGTGACCTGGAAAAGTGCAGATAGAGGGGCTCTAGCTTTGCAGGTGGTGTCTGACAGCAGTTTGACTCCCCAGCTCTCCTCTCTAACATCCCCAAACTGCTCAAAACTGTCAGTTTCCATATATATATATATATATATATATATATGAAACACACACACACACATATATATATTATTATTATGTGGAAAAGGCTCAGTTTTCCCTGATGCATTTCCTCTCCTTCCATAGCTCTAACTGAATGGCCCTGCAGCACTGGCACCTAGGCTGTCTTTGCCTCACCATTTGTAATACTGTTGCCTAAAAAGAGCACTTGAATTAAACCTCCAAGACAAATTTGTGAGCTTTAAAAGTCAGGCATCCTTTAATCGGCGCTGGGTGCACTGGGTATCATCATTACATGAGTACTCATTTTTTGTTCCCCTCATTGCTGTTACATATTCACGACATTTCCCAAAACTTCTTAGCATATATGCATGTCCTTATAAGGTCTCTGAGGGTCTTCATCTGGGGTCTTCAGTGGTCTCCCTAAGTAACTGCCTTGTGAACTTCTTCAAGACAGTGCACCTGGTTAAAAAGTAATTGGGTGTTGCCTTGCTGGCTGTCTCGCTTCCTCTCTTCATGGTTTCTTTAAATCACTTGGCTCAGCTATCTGTAGTTTCTATGTTGTAAATACTATCAGTTCTTGTTACATCTCTAAACCCCGACATCAATACATCCGGGAGGGTTTGAGCCTGTTCCTTCTGGCCCCTGGAACAACAGGAGGGGAAGCCTAGGAGAGGCTGAACACTTTGTCAGTCTGTGTTTTGGTGCTTTGTCTTATTGTGAGTGCAGCATCAGGGAGGGAGAGCAAGGTCTGTGGGGGAATCTGAGCAGGGGCAACAGGAGGGAGGGAAACTGAGAAGCTTACAGCAAAGTCAAGTCAGGAAGACAAATAAGTTGGGAAACTAAAATAAGAAAAGGTGAGTTAAATGTGACAAACCCAGAAAAAATAATGTGGGTTTGATTGGGAAGGAACCAAAAATGGCTTGGGAAGGAACCCAAGTGTAAGATCATGCTCAGGAAAGGGCCACATCCAGCTGAAGTTTGAGAATCTGCAGGTGTATTCAAACTGGGCTTTCACATCCTCTCCAGGCCAACCTGTCCCTGTTGGCCAGGGAAAGGGGGTTTCCATGTGGCTGATGGGAATTTCCCTTTTCACAACTTGGGTCTGATGGCCCTTGTGCTTTGGCTGTGTCCCTCTGAGGAGACTCTGGGACCAGCCCTCCCCACGTAGCCTCGCAGGCCCCAGGGCAGGGCAATGACAGCTTCCCTCGACCTGGCAGCCCCCTCGCTGACCCTCTCCATGTGCAGCCTTTGAATTGCAGCAGTATTAAGACACTAAACACAGGGAAACCAGGCTGGAAGTCTGGTTGGATCAGGGTGGACAATAGTCACCATCCACTTGTTCCCAAGGAAAAATGAATAATCACCTCCCTTGAACACATAAGCACCTCTCTGTTTCTATATTTTTTTTACCCCCTGTTTGCATTATGGGATTGTAAAGGTAAAGACTGATAAGATACAGTGATGTGTCATATCAGGACTAGCAGAGCTTTCTTCAGCTGTTTGCATTAAAACCCTTTGGCTATTTTTTTTTTAAATTACTTTGTGCAAATAAACTGAAGGCACTTTGTACACAAGAAGTACAAACAAAATGACAGGGCTCCTGAAGTTGGGGCCCCCCTCCTGGCTTTTGTTCTAAATCTAAATCTTAACCTTATCCTAATTTCCTAAATCAAGCAAACCATGAGATAAAAGGAGCACTATAAGCACAAGTCCAGCTGCCACAGGAGGAGGCAAGATGCCAGCCTTGGTCACTGGTGGAGTGAGGAAAACTGCCTAGGGGCAGGAGTACAGGGTGAGCACTGCCTTCCTGATGTCATTGCTGAGGTATCCAGACTGCTGGTGCTTAGGTAGCAGTTTCAAAGTTCAGATGAGATGATTCTCTCCAAAAAGCACTGAATGGAGAGGAAATAGAGCTGTAGAGTCACAGGGGAGACTTGAGATGCAAGGCCACCTCCATCTAGATAACAGCATGGCCTAGGAAATGGCATAAGAAAGAAGCTGGGTATAGGTGTAACAGATTTGTGATCCTTGAAATCTGCGTGTTAACGAAAAAACTATCAAGCCAAACTGTCCTAATTTCAGGTATTACCATTCTAGTTAAGGTAGTTTGAGGCATTGCCTACTGTGGACAGATAGTCCTCAAAACAGCACAGAAATAGCTACATCCTGAGAGCACTGATCTTTACGTATTTTTATGGCATTTCACTATGATCCATAAAACAGTTACGTCAGGGCATGGGTTCTTTGTTGCCTCTTCCCCTGTCCTTGGCCAGGGGCTGTGGCTCTGCAGAGAAGCATCTCCAGCATGTCTGGTGCCATGCACACTGCAAGGCTGCTGCTAATGTATACCCAGCCATATGAGCTTCCCTAAATTGTGGCTATTGTATAGAGAAATTATCTTCTCTGAATAACAATCTATTCTGGAGTTCAAGCTGTTTACATTTCTAGAAAGAGGTACTGGCAGTCTGTGAAGGATGACCGTGCTCCTGAGCTCTACCTTAAGAGAAGCCACTTACAGCTCAGGTTACTCTATAAGCAGCTGGAGTCAGTAGCAGCTCCTGTGTACACTGGCCGACCAGGACATGGCCTGCAGCCAATCCATTATTTTCACACAGATCCCTAAACAGCACGGGAAAGTACCGTCCTTCAGTGGCAGCTCAAACAGGGTGCTTGCAGTGATGACAGAGCCTCTCCCCGGTGGTTTCTCCAGAGCCATGTGAGGCAATTGTAAGATTCCGTGTTTTTGTTGAATGTTCAGGAGTTGCAATACTCAGGTATGGTTTGGGATGGGAAAGCAACAAGCTACAGCTCTTGTTTATGAAGCAGCATTAATGCATTCTGGACAGCACAGATTCGGTGGAAAATACAGACCCTATTTCAGGTTGCTTTTAAGCTCGCTCTGTTTTAGATGAAATAGTTCAGATGTGTAATAAATGGGCAGAAAGTGATGACAGGGAATACATGGTATAGGAAGCTGAAGAAACCTATTTCCATGAATACTCAATATTGCTCACATGTCCTTGCCAATACTACAATCTAGATTTCAGAAAGCAGTAATCTGCAAAGCCTGATGTTACTGTGTCAGCCAACCAGTTAATATTGATGTAGTGCTTTTGTATCATCACAGCTAGTGACCCAGCTCCTGTGAGCACACCATACTGAAATGAATCTGGCTGGGTCAGCCCATCGCCACCAGCCCCCAGGCTGGGTTTATTAAACTAGAACACAGCAGACACACAGTTTCTGTAGGTAACATTGAGAGTTACCTACATTTGACTTTCCTCATTTCACAACCCACACTCCAACCCCTAAAGCTATACGTCCTTCACCCACAGAACCATTACCTCACAGACTTTTATTTCCTTTTCTTTTAGGCAGAATCTATTAAGCTACTTAAAAAAAAATAAAAAAAACATTTCCCAAACACACTGTTACACTCTTATCTCCAGTTATAGTACCAGGAAGGTGTGCTGGGGCCAAATCAGGCACGATGGAATTTGCCATGGGGAAACCCAGCACTGATGACAGCGGAACCCGCCCGCGTGTGAATTCCCGTGGCTCCTGCCACCCCTTTATAAGCAGGTGGAGGTGAGGCAGGGCTGGCAGAACAGGCAGGCAGCAGCCGAGCACTCACTGGAGCAGAGCTGTGAGTGTGGTTTGGGAATGGCTGGCTTTAGCAGCAAGAGCATGGTCCTGGTCTCCCTGATGGGGCTCCTGGCGCTGCTCCTGTGTGGCACCTCCAAAGGTGAGTGAACTCTGGCGTTCTGCCCCAGGAAGCGGCTCTTGGTGCTGCTCGCAGCTGGCAGCAGGAGGAGGGCGAGGTGGAGGGAATGCTTTCAGCAAAGTATGCTGCCTCATCCTCCTCTTCTGTCAGGAGGGAGCTGGATAGTTGGGTACAGCGAGTACTTAGACATCACAGCAGCATGAGCCAAATGGGTTTTATTTACTTTGCTGTTTTCCTTCATTCCAGCACACAGCAATCATGATTGCTGCCTGTCTTACACCAAAGTGCGTCTGCCTCGGTGGGCCCTGAAGGGCTACACTGAACAGCTCGCCAGTGAAGTCTGTGATATCCCTGCAATCATGTAAGTTACTTTTCAGAAGATCCTCCAGTTTTTCTGATACGTATTAACCTTAGGATGTCTGTTTGGGCAGAAATAATTATTTGAATGATTTTTCTTGCTTTTTCAAAAACCTAAATTAACTGAATAAATTGTATATAATACTTGTAAACAAAACACACAACCTGTAGTTGACAGGGACTACTAACTCATGGGACAGCCATACAATGTAAATAATAAATTTCTGACTGTTTAGGAATCAACTGTGCAAACAAAGACGTGCTTCGTTTCCAGCTGAGGGCCACTCTAGCCAACACAAGGTGTTCCCTTGCAAAGACCTGTTAGCAGACACATAAGTGACAAGAGTTCTCTTAATTCACAGGGATTGGATTTCCTTTTCCACAAGGTTTTGTCCCTCCTAGATGTTGATCTGTCACCTTAGTTTGACAGCAACTAATCTCCTTAATCTTAGAAATTATTTCTGGTATCCAGCAAAGGTCTTTGTCTCAATGGATCAAGTAAATTGAACACAATTTTATGGTGCAAACAATGATCCCTGAGACTGAAGCAGCTATTACATTTAAATTTCATTGGATGTTTCTTTATGTTCATATAATATTGGAGGAGTTTGGATTATCCTATATCTAAATGGCATTTACAAAAGCAGTTGTTATTGTTCATTATATAGAGTAACTATGACACTTTTTTTGACAAAATGGATCTTCACAGTATTTACTAGCAGGGATTTCTAATTATTTACTGATTTCTTTATCATTATCTCTTTTCCAGTTTCCACACCAACAGTGGGCTGAAGGCCTGTGTAAATCCTAACGAAGGCTGGGTGAAGAAGCATCTTCTTTTCCTCAGGTAGGAATCTAAACATCTACATAATGACAGGCTGATGAAAACAGGGCATATATGAAAGCTTGTTTCTCACATCTCCTGATGGCGTTGGTGAACACATTTGTCTTTCTATCTCCTGTCAGAATTGGCTACTCCTTTTTAGAGTCTTCTCAGGGACAGTCATGTCCACATGTCCCTTTCCCTACCTGAACTATTCTCTCAGAGAAGAAATCTATAACTGACCTGTGGCTGAGGTCTTCATTTATGTGTGTTCTCTCTTTTTTTCAACAGCCATAAGCTCAAGAGGATGTCAGCCTGATATGGTTTCCAGCAAGGAAATAAACATAGACATGGCTGAAGAATCACCAGGTTCAACCTCTTGGTTGGGATTGTCTTGTACACTGTTGTGTGCTCACTCACCTCCAACTCAGGCTTCTTTGGAACTGTTGAACTTCTCTAGTTGATTCATATTGCATCTCTGGTTTGCTTGAATTAAGCATTTTGTTACAGTTTCTATTTTTACTAATATGTGTACTAATATGACATGATATTATTTAGTAAAGACTACCTTAAGCTGTTGTACAGAGTATTAAGTTTATTGCACGTTGTTTTTGTTTTGTTCCACATGTGTAAAGTGGCTTATTTATTCTATTTATTTTATTACTGTCTTGTGCCAAAATGTTTCCTTTTAGCTGTAGTTAGCATTATAATACTTCTTGAGCTATTGCTAAAGAAAATCTGCCTGTGGAAAAAAATGGAAATTGGAGTTTAAAAAAAATAAATGTTAAAATCAGCACTCTCTGTGTGATACGTTTATTTTGTTAATTAAAACACGTGACTTTCCCTTGAAATGAATCCCTTTGCTTATGAGCCTCCAGCTGAAACAATTACACAAGTGGGTTGACACCTGTTAAAGGCACTTTCCACCTTCCTCACTTTGTTTGCCCTAGGGGTAGCTATGACCTCCACAGGATGTAATTGCTTCCTGACCCCCAGACAACTGCTATAAATCAAGCTTTTGCTTAACATGAAGACCTGTTCTTAGCTCAGTTTGATCTTAACTAGACTTGAGAGACTTTCTTTTACATGTTTCTCTATTTATTCAGGAGGAACCTTACACATACTGTCACTGGGCAAGCTTCTAGCCTGAGGAGGACTGATTATGGTAACACAGTCTGCTCTCAACTCAAAAGATGATATATCTCTAGAGGAGAAATTTGCAGTGCTTTTCTGCCCTTTTTGTGTTTCCTATGGTATCCTATGGCTTCTGCCATAATGAGGTTTTCTTGGTGCAGGATCTCCTGATGGAGGTTAATGATGCCTGACAAAAGTAATGAGACTTCATGGAAGGTAGGAGATGGGTGCAGGTTGAATGGGGAAGGCTGCTCAGCTCTTTACATACTATTACATGGCACACATGAAATTCAGGGATGTGACCATGTAGGCTGTGTAGTTCTCTCACTTTCAGCACTGGAGTATTATGGATAAATTTACACCTTGGCTTGGTACCTTTTAGTCATAGAGATACAAGCATTTATTTTAATTTAAACTGAGAGAGAATATATTTTTGGTGCCCTTGAGAGGGGAGCTGAGATGAATTGGGTTTTTGAAATGATGGTCATGAGTGGAAGGCTGTTATGTTCTGGTTTCAAAACTTGCTAGGACTTAAACAATCCGCTTGTCACTCTGCCAATCTGGGAACTGTCAGTTCTCTGTGAGTGAAGCTCTGAAGGAGCGAGATAATTTAGCTTTAATTTTCAGCAGGTGGATTTCATGTCCTTGATATAGAGGATATCAGGTGAAAAGCTATCAGCTTTCCAGGGAGGAGCTATTACCCAGCATGTTCCCTAATCCTTCCCCCATGTCTTCTAGAACTGGTGCAGGCTCCTGTTTGGGATCAGAGAGTTTTTAGGCTAAATCAGCTACCAACAAAATGGTACATACAAGACTAATGGATCTGTGTTAAAAGTGTCAGAAAACGAAGTTCTTCAAGCCTACCCCGGGAACAGGTGAGCATTGGTGGAGATGTTAGGAACCAGAGCTGTAATGAACTTGGTGCAGAAAAGCCTAGAGACCAAGCTAGTGAATTCAAAGCAGGGGAGCAAAATAAGAAGGTGAAGACAAATATGTGAAATTCTGTGGGTGGTTCTTTACTCCCTGGTTGGGCCTGTTAAAAGTTTTGTATTGTTTCTATAACTCGTCCTTCCTCTGGTCATCCATGGTTGCGTTGCTACAAAACCCCACATGCTTCATCCATAGAGCTATGACTTGTGAGATTTCTTTTTAGTTCCTCTTATTCTGGTTGAACTTTTTTTATATCCAACCTCTTCTGAAGAAAAAAAAAATAAATATTTGTTTCTATGCCCAGTATCAGAAATAGATAAGGTTGTTATGTTACTGGTACAAAAGTCTGTGTAAAAATAACATGTCCCTCCATTAATTCCTGAGGATAAAAACAAGTATTGTAAGCAAGTGCTGCATCTCCAAAATCATCAGATCAGAGGCACATTTTTGTAAGTAACCTTAAGTGCTCAGTTAAAAGTTCTGACAGCTCTGTAAATCATGACCATTTCTAGGAAAACTTGAATCCTGATTACTTTGGTGGGACTGTTTTGCATCTCTGTAGGTGAGTTTCTTTTTCCTCGCTATCTTTGGCCTTCAGCTTCTAATTCAGCATGTGCAATTTTGTTGAATAATTTGAGATGCAGTATTAGATGATGATGGTAATTTGGGGACTTTTCCCCTTCCATTTACATAATTTTTCAAATCGAAATTATTTTTTCTTGCAAAGTGCTGAGGCTTTTTATTACAGCTTGGATATCACTTGGGAATTGGGTATAAGAGCTTTTCCTTCAAAGTCTCAGCAAAACTTCATACTTCACTTTCAAAATCTCCTTCTTGTGCTGTACTGAGACCAGTCCTCAGTGATTCTTGTGCCAGCTGGAGTATTACTATTGAATCCTATTTGTGCATATTCTTTCTGTGTTCTGTTTGTTTGTTTGGTTTTGGTGCATTTTTAAAAAGATATGTTTTTGCTTCCTTTTTAATTTCTTTTTTTCCTTCCACAAAGCAATCTCACACCAGTTCCACTCAAGACACTGCAGCACTTTGTTTTGTTAGGATCCTTGACAGAATACTTTCTGTTCACTTAAGAATCATAATTAGATTTACTAATTTCTTATTTTTTTTTAATCCCACCCCTGCACAAAGCAACAAAATAACTGTGCATGGAAACTGATTTTTGTAAGGAATAGCAAATCTTCTGCTGATTTAATTTTGCTGGAAAAATATAAAACCTGATGCATTTCACCTGCTAGGCAAGTACTAAGAAGTTATTTGTTGCATTACTCTTCAGTTGATAGTAGCTTTTGGCTATCAGTTGAAGACTGGTTTTTTGTTCCTCATCTATTTTTTCCACCTTCCACACAGAGGGGGGGTTATAAAGCATCTGCAAATCCAAGAGACAAATGGGTCAAGACCCTTATCCTGCAGTGTGCATGTTTTCAAGTATATCTGAAATCCAAGCACTACTGGGTGTGCTTAGTGTCAATGGCACTTTTAGCTCCTGGGGATGTTGATAATTGGTCAGTTATTTTCAATTACCAATACCAATGAGCCCACATGTAGCCTGACTTCACTCCTGATGAACTGGAATGCATCATTCTGTAATTTTGTTGAGAATTGAATCAGGGAACTCATGAACCAAGAAGGGCTTTAAGCTTGTGATACTATCACTTGATTCTAATGGCATCCATCCAGCTGGATAAACATCAAACCAATACAGATGGATCAATTGTAACAAGCCTTCTGTATGCTGAGTTAAGCTGTGTTACACCCTGGCAGTCTTGTTCCAAATACCAGACTACAGGCAACATCCTTTGCCAAAATATGAATCATAAAAGAAGCTTTTATCACCAGACTAAATCCAGTGCATTGTTCATACTAAGTTTACTATGCAATTATAGTTGTATGACCGTACATAAATGAAAGCTATGATCTGTGTTCCCATGATGTCGTGATTTCTCTGTTCTGGGAGGTGTCATCCTTAACTGTGCAGTGTTGCAGTCCTAAAACTCTGTAAAGGCTTTTAAATTGCTGTGTTTCTTCCTTCTGAACTTCCAACTGCAGATAGCTTCCAGCCAAAGCTCTCCTAGAGTTGCTGGTGTTAAAACATTTAAACACAGTACACAATAGGTGCAGTCCTGTGGCTGCTATTATACATTAACCATAGTAGCTCATGTAAATGAATCCAGGCACTTGTTTAATAGTCTTTTATCTTCCTTGAATTTATAGCATTATTCAAAGATTATGCAATCAAAAATACATATTAAATGTAAAAGCAGCAGATGAAATTTAGAATACTGTATGGTTAAAACAGAAATATAGTACAGGAAAAGTAGAGACTAAAATACTATTGTTAATTCTTCTTATTAATATACAACAGCATTTCTGTAGTTTTGCTTCTATGACTTCAGTTATATCCCCAAAATAAAGTAACAATTTTATTTGTAAGCACCTCCATCTACGTTTCCATGTTCCTGAAGTTTTGCTGCACCCTAACTTTACTGCTGGAGATGGATGTAGTGGCTCACAGCCTTTAGAGAAGATTTAGTGTGTTCAGGCCAGCATTAGCTCTTCCCTGTGCCACAGTGAATGAGAAGATACACAGGGGTAGCTGTAATAAGCTGTCAGATATGCTCTTCTGTTAGTTGACACTTGGTAAGACATGCTTATGGTAAGAATGAGGGAGAGAGAGAGAAACCAGCTTCTGAAAATGGGAATAGTGTGGCCCAGCACTTGGGATTCCTGGTGAGAAAGCCTGAATGATAGGATCCATGTGATAGACAGCTACAGGATAAAGCAGCTTAGGAAACATGAAACACTGAAATAGTTCAGTTGGGGTACCATGATTAGTGAAGCCATGTACCAAAGTGTACAAAACAGTGCACAAAGCATTTCTAATTTCTTAGCCAAAATTTAGGTACACTCGTGATTCAAGCTGTAACTGTCTTCTCTCGTGGCAACGTGCCCATAAGCAAAGAAAAGCAGAACATTTATGTGTAGGCAAAAATGTTATGTGTAGGATGGCCTAGTACAACAAGTACTTGACTCTTCCTATAGCTTTTGGATGACAAAATTTAGTCAAAACATATATTGTTCTGAGCGTGGCTTGCAAGGGAATAAACTCTGTACCAAGAATTCATATACACAACTATTGAGGTGACAGCAGATGGCATCCTAAGGTACCAAGGGCAGAGAAACACTACAATCTGTTAGGAGCTACAGACACACACCTGGAGGGAACAGCAGGTGCTGTGTATGCACTGACTGATCAAGCTATCTGATTAGAGTCGTGCCAGTGAGATGGGTTCAAGTGAGTGGTCCAATTTGCAGTGAAACTGTCAATTACACTGTCAAGATTAAACTAGTAATTGAATATCCTTGCAGCATCATTGGTCAGGCACAAAGCTACTGATAACACTATAAACTTACAAGGTAGAAAAAGGGGAATTTGATAGATTTAACGTGGCAGATAAATCAAGCTGTAGAGCGGCTTCCAAATGTGGCAGTATCTCATGTATGACTAAGCTGTGTTATACAGCTGTATTTAGGGAATACAAATATAATACAAAATAATATTTTAGCTATATGTCCTACTACAGTGATTTGTTTTTTTCAAATGTACATTTAATAGAGCTGGTTCAAAGAGATGATTTTGTTCCCACGAGCATCTGAATGTTTCATGTTGTTATGACTCAGAGTAAATGGTGAAAATGTCTTTCAGAGAT